TATATATATATATATATATATATATATATATATATATATATATATATATATCATATGTGAAAGTTTGTAGAACTAGTTTGTGTGAGACTAATTCTAAAATAAATAATAATAAATAATTCTCTAAAATTTTCTAGAATATAATGATACCTATATTTATCTTATATATTCATATAACATATTTTTATTCATTCAATTTCACTATTATTTACTTAACTTTACTATAAGTTTTATAAATGTTAATCGAATAAATGAAAGGGAATGATTGATACAACCAAAGAAGTTAACTGTCAGCATTAGTGAATGACAAAAATTTTGAATTGCAGACATTCAATCGCGAGATTCTATCGACAATCATTCAAATAGGCCCCTTGCTAATCTCGAGCGTATGCCGAGCCCGAGTGATCGCGTGGCGTTTCGTCGAGTTACGTATACCGTATTCCATTCACTTGGATTCAAGCGGCTGTTAAGTACGAGCGTGAAAGTTGTACTTCGAGAAAATGATACCGGTTTCGCGTGACGAGCAAGTACAACCGATATCGCACGTACCAAGGTCACGAGCGCTTGTCTGTTGCTTACCGAGAATTCGTCGCACCAAACCGAAAACCATTTGATGTTGTTCAAGGTCTTGCCGTCCGGTAAGGTCAGTGTGATGTCCTTCTTGCGGTAGCGCTTGAGGACGTTCGTGCTGTCGGACGGAAGGAACATTTAACGCGCTGAGCAAAAAACGGGAGAAAACACCGGGATCAATGCCGGACGTACTTCTGCATTTTACTTACGTTCCTCGTTCGTCTCGCACCCGGAATCCATTGCTGTTTGGACTCTTACTAGTTCCGGCATAAAAGAAAGCAGCTGAAAAAATGTATTTTCATTATTAATATTGCTCTTACAATTCTCGTTTTCAATTTTCTTGCATTTTTTGCAGAGACAGCGCATTTTTAGACATAGGAAGATCGAAGTAAATTAAAATAGAGCAAAAATTCCAACGTATATATTTCTTAAATTCCCTTTATCCCCTTGGCTGGTTCCATTAATTTGACAACTTCGTTTCTATACAAGAAGATTTTTAGATTAGGTTCTTTTTATCAATGAACGAGTTGGCTCAAGCTAGTAGATGGCGAACGCGTTCCACGGTCTTAGATTGTGAAGCTCTACTAAGCATCTAGATATCCCATTAATCGGATACGGGCATCTCGAGCAGTACGTCATGAATACGCGTGCCAGAGAGATTCGGGAAAGTTTTTCCGGCACAGAAATCGATTGCGGTCAGTCTATCAGGCCGAGGGAAAGTTTCCCCGCAATTTTTTTGCATCTTTTTAAGATTTAACGAGCGGAAAAACAAACGTACAGTAGTATTGTACGTACGTAGTATTTGACATAAAATCAATCGCCAAAGTGTTTTCGTATGAGGCAACAAAAGTATCTATTTTATATATACAGGAGATTCTAGCTAGTATCATTGCTTATTTCCAAATTATCTTTCCTGAATATCAAAATTAAGTATAAATTGTTCAAAATTTTATCATAATTATAAAAAGTAGTTAGAGAGCGTATCGTTGATAATTAAAAGTATTCTTTAAGTAATCAAAATAAACAAAGTAACAAATATTGTTGTTATTATGATATGATGTACCCACCTGGACCTTCACCATCGTAGGTGAAGTCCTTGATGAACAATGTCCTTGCATCAACAGCATAGACTTCGCCACTAACGCCATGATGAAGTTCAGACAGCTTGCCGATCAGCTTGCCATAATACGCTCCGCTACATATTTCTGTCGAAAAGATACTCGCGTTAATAACTCATTAATAATTAAATAATTAAATAGCACAAATTATATGGTGTATAAGATCATTATGCACCGTATAAGGTGCAATATACACAGAGTACAAATAATTAATAAAACACAAAGTAAAAAACAGAATAAAAATGTCACAATACGGGGCGCGACAATGTAAGCAGGATTTGTTTCCAGTTAGTAGACTTGTTGGACGTCTTTTACCACTCTTTTCGCATCTGTATCCGGATGATTATTTAAAAGCAGTCAGTGATAAATCGCTAAAGAATTACCATAATTATGGTGAAATTAGCAACATGTATAATACGATGTAACAAGTGCATAATTGATTAACCACTTATCGACCATCATTTACGTAATATTATGTTGTTGGCCGAGAATGAAAAAATACCAGAGAAAAAGCGTATGCGTAAGTATGCATTGTGCTGTGATCTGAAACACATGAAACTACTCTTTATATGGTAAGAGGATATGACATTCACATGCACCTCCGCATACCATTTAGTCGCGTTATCGTCCGTCAGACAACGGTTACAGGAACTCACTGGAAAACCGGTACCGCACGTAATAATGCGTGTACGCGAGCTCATCGAGTTTGTTAGAATAATGTATTCCACTTGTGTCTCTCGCGTCGTAGGCCGCTGATAGACGTCCTCGTCCAAGTACGGCAGCCAGCGCGGATAACGGTAACGGATACTTTATCTTTTAGAATCGACTAACGAAACGTCGTATGTTTACTTGTACCACATGTATTAAAATAAGTATTGCTTCGAAACGAAGGCCGCACGTTGACAGAACCAGGATCGGCTACATTGGTTACGTTCTATTGGCTACCTCGTTAAATCGAACCCTTTACTTGTCCGAGTACCGTTAGAATTCCGTAGAAGGACGGCTATCATCCATCCAGAAATGTCAGGATAGCAAAGATTGGCGCGCTTCGCGCATTAATCAAGGTCGCACGATTGCATGCGTTTCCGCGAGAGATTCGTCGAATGCGGATAGCAGAATGTTACTGACGCAGCGACAGCGCGTTCAAGAACGATAGAAACAAGAATGTTGCATTATATTGTCGTAAAACAAATGCCGCTTGACGATCGAGGAGTTTAGTGCAATAGTATGATAGTATAATTTACTTTTTCTAAGAACTTGTGATAAGGTCAATCTGGAAGTTGAAGAAATTACATTGAGGAGTTGAAAAAGTTAATTTCTGCAAATCGGTCTAATAAAATTAAAATAAAGTTAGTTAGCCAAAAACATATATAATATGTTATATGTAAAATCAATTGGATCTCATGAATAAAATTAAACAAACAGAACCAATCAATAAAGAATTAATTTTGGAACTTTTAGACTGATACAGAATGAATTCTCTGCTAATATGATTTAAGAGATTTCTGTAATTGTTACTGCTTTCGAATAAAGGCACAAGTTTACGATCTCCTGAATTTTTGCGAAATGTCACCGTGACGTAACATTTAATTATTTACAAACAGATAGAAGATGTTCTAAACGTGATATCTTTTTGTGCTTAACTTCCACATAATTATAGGAGATACTTATACTAAATTGTCGATTCAGAGGAGTGAATTAATTTCTAGATCGAAGACACTCACAGACTCTCACGAAATTTTAATTTCCCTGTTTATGAGAAAATTCGTGCTCACAAACATTTCAGTTTACAAATAATAGAGCATAATTATGCAATACGGCACACGAGAACCAGTCTTGCAAGATTAAACATGAGAGATATTATTGCCAGTCAGTATTCGAGTGACGCGCCGCATCACGATCGGCAGTATCGTGCGTCGTGAATATTTTGGACCAACGACTGACTATCCGCATATGCATGATTGCGACATTGCGGACTCGGAACTTGTATTATACACGGATGGCCAATTACGGTTATCCGCCTCCCGCTTTCACCTCCCGCTGGAAGCCTGGAAATGTCAGGAGGTCCGCCGACGCGATGTTATCGCCCTTTCGTTTTCATCCGTTGTCTTCTTCTTCGCGTATAGACTTGCGCGTTCGCGAGTTTCCATGTTTATTCTTATTCGAATTCTCCTACTTTCCCACAAGCCGGATTTAACTTAATACATGAAAAATACTGCAAGGATGAATTTAGCACTTGAAAACAATCAAATACTTTATACAAATGTACGATCAATTTGATCTAATTTCCGAGTTATAAAGTTTTATGTACCAGTAATCCACTTTTGGTAAGCTAAATTAGTATAATTGATTTCACTTGCCTATTTACAGATAATGCTTAATATCTCACATGTGCTCATCAAGTTTATCTCTGAAATGTTTCTCAAATTTTACTTTAAAGTTTTGCTGTAATAAAATCATATCAAATGATTTTTTTTATTATAACAAAGTACAGTTTCGCTCTATATACTACATAATTACTGACTTTCATATGTGTTCATACCATATCCAAAATACAGAACTCTAACTTTCGCTTAGAAATGTCTTGATGATTATTTAATTTAAAGTCACGGAGTAGATGTCACGTACACACGCGAGGATTTTTATTATTCATTCTAAAAAAAAATACTCCACAGAAGAAACTATCTCCTAAAAGAAGGAATTTTACCTGTTACAAATTTCCCACGCGATTGACTTATCCCTTTTCTATTACGAAACACGAACATTAATTTTTAGATCAAGCATTTGCTAATTGCATGTTAGTATCGTATAATTTCTCTTTGCTTTCTAAAGTATGCGCTAAAAACGGTGCGCGCAAAAACACGGAGCGTGAAGTCGTCCCAGGATGCGAAGCCGCAAGTTAGCGGTAAGTAGAGTGGACAACGAAGCAGCCTGCGAAATCGCGTGCGGATATCTTAATTAGCTCGAGTAAGTAATACGATGAGAACGCTTCTATAAACAAATTGTTTCGTGTGAAAATTTGGTGGTTATTTCAAAATCGCGAAATAGTTTGGAGCGACCTATATGAGTTATTTAACCCATACGAATTTATTGAAGACTGCGGATATCGATGCCATGTCTATGTAACTTCACTGACGTCTTGTAACTTTGTGTACGTTTTACTGCGAAGATAATACTTCGACGATAATTCAATACAATGGAGTCTTTAATCCCCTCACTTTCCATCAAGGACGTCACTTAATATACCAAGAGAGTTTCGATTACGAACGTGAGCTCTTGCTTATGTATAACATAATTATTTTGGATTACAGTCAATCGACTATTTTATTATATCCGAATTGGAACCTAAGAAAAATTAAAGTGACCGTAAGATATTTTTCAATTAATTATATTCCACTCTGTCATGTCGCAATAATTCTGATCTATATAAATCTGTAATGCAAAAATATCTTAACCAATCAGTATGTGGCAAGTTCTTGTCGTTATACCAGTAATAGAGTACCGCTTTGCGCGAAAAGCGAATAAAAAAGGAATAAAAAAAACAATTTTTCTGCTCTATAATATTAAAATAAAAAGAATTATTTAAATTGAAGATAAAAAAACTTACGTGCTGCCACGATAAGGAGAAATACGACGATTAGACCGATAGCCGACGGTCGCGTTGGGGACGATGCGAATGGTCGTGTCGTCATGGTGTCTTGGTGGTTACTGCCGAGAAAAGTATCTGTTGTCGATCCAGGTAACTTTGTTGATCCCACTACGTGATCACCGGCTCGCCTTGCTTCACCGTTCCCGTTCCTTTCTATCTTTCTCTCATGGGAAAGACTTTTCAGCTTTTCGCGCCTAAGTAAAAGTCTTATCGTAGCGTCTCAGCTGCAATTCCCGACTGTCAAAACATTTTATTAGAGACTCGGTAATTAATTTTCCGCGCATTAAAAAAAAAAATACTATTCCTGTAGATAAGAAATTACAGGAAAAAATATGCATTACGTCTGAAACAAGAAATAGTCATGTTGTTACAGTGTGGAAGATTAACTCTTAGAAGAGGAGTAAGGTAAGAAGAAGGCAGGCTCTGGATTACTAGACGTTGCGTCCGAGCATACCGTAATTACCTGACAAATTTGACTGCGTCACGTATAATTATGACGTTGTCACGACGACGTGCATTACCCCATCGCGCTCTATGCGACTCTTATCTAGGCTCGGTGAATATTTCCCGAGTGAGCGCATCGTTTGAAGCCGTTTCCAACGTAGCTCAAACTCATGTTGCAACAACGTGTGATTATTTTCGTCTGGAATTAGCATTTTAGATCTACTTGAACACCCTGCTGATAATACAGTTCACATCTCCCTTATTAATTAGGACTCGAGTGGCAAATCGTGGAAATGAGAAACGAGTCAGCTCATTTTCCGCGATCGTGCAAAATCTCGACGAAAATAACAAGCACTAAAATGACACACTAAATGACAGTAATGCGGTTTTCGACGATGTAATGCAGTTGTCGTCAAATCGAGATATTCATTTTGCAATACGGCACAATGAGACGCAATTAGACGGTATCTCAATGTGCACCTTCTTCTTCTTCTGACCCTCTTTCCGTCTACCTCATTATTGTGAATAAAGACATGATTTTATGCATTAATAATTTACTAACTCTTAATTTCTTAAAAGAAAAGAGAAAGACATAGATCATAAATAAAAGAAAAGTATAGGATGACTACTGAAAAAATATAGAAAACTGTAATTTTCTTACTCTATCGTTTATAAAGTTCAAGTATATAAGTCTAAAATTCTTTTCATTGTATAATTGTGCAAATTAAAGATTAGTTTTCATTAATATATGCCATAATTAGCAAATAGCACTGCTTAAGTTATTTTCTTAAATTTTGTGGTTTAAACCGTTTTTATGGACATTTTTTCAAATCTTTCGCGAATCATGCGGCTTTCCACTTTTTCATGGATGGACTGGTATGCGGGCTGGTTGTACTTGTACAGAAGCCAAGAAGTTCCGATCCAACCTAAAAACCGTCTTGTTCATCTTTATCTCGTCTCGCCTCTCGCCGCTCGCATCTCACCTCATTATGCCGTCAGAAGGGAGGGAGAGAGAAAGAGAGAGACCGAATAGAATAGAATAACTTTAACGTATGTTTATCTTGCGACAAAGGTCGCCGGGTTCATCGCGTACGATTCAGCAAAAATGATGAAACATATTTTCAAGAATTGCTGCCGCTTCGCTTTCGCTTTGAATCCGGAAATAATAACGATCTGTCGCTGGTAGCAGCATATCCGCGCGGGATGTGCTCGCTGAAAGTCGACTGAACAATAAAAGTGACGAGTGTGCCGTTTGAAAGAAGCTGGCGAGCGCTTGAATTTGAGTCTTCAGGAGCATACAGTTAGTTGCGATAGCGAACGAGCGAAAGTCCTCTTCCTTCTTCGCTTAGGTGCCAGATACTTAGTAGTTCTTACAGAATACCAGCTGTTTAGTTCCATACGCACTTTCGCACCACGCGTCACCAATGATGAATATACAACTCACATATGCGTAATAATACGAACGTGTTGCACTGTAACATAACGCATTATTAATCAAACTTAACGAGAATATTCATACAATCAGTTTAATGATATAAATTAATGTGCCTCTTGTCGCTACACTTTATCATAATCATTGCAGATTTTCCTTCCTTAAATCGCGGACTCGTATCAAGTTTTGCTCAACGGCTACCGTAGAATTTAACAAAGTTCTGAACAATTTCGGGGAAAAAGAAATACACTCAGCTACAACGCACGTGTACGATTTGTCATCGAGTTTTAAGAGCGATCAAACATACGTGTAGGAGACGGAAATCGTAGATGACTATCTGCTAGTATAATGAGATGAGAATGGTGAAAGTTTGTCGTATAGATAAATTGCAGATTACTGAAGCTGAATCGTGATTACTGATCCTTGAGTGATAGTCTGTCTTCATGGATCAAGTTTCACGCTGTTTACTCGATTACTTTATTTCTGAAGACCACAACCGTCTAGAACAATAAAAATCACTGCTTTTTACATTTAAAAAATTGTTACAGAGATTGCGGGCGATGTTATACATGTGTACATCGTGTATACTTTAGAAAGTAACTGCTGCTACAAGAAATAGTAGGAGATACTTATTGTGTTGTTTGTAAAATGTCTGTTCAATGTAAAAATAATGTGTTGACATGTAAATTAACTGTTTGCACGTAAACTAACGCATATTTCAATGGCTGAATACTATGAATAGCGCGCAATTGATATAATTAGTGACACAACCCTTAAGAGAAATTACTTTAAGTTGTTCAAATTAACTTAAAGTTGCTTAAAATTATTTAATGTTCTTTATAGTTAAGTAAAAATTACTTAAGTTAATTATAAATAACTTTAAGTAACTTTAAGAATTTTAAGTTAATTTGAATATCTTAAAGTAATTTTTCCTAACGGAAAGGACAAGCGAATATTGAGAGAATGAGATAAACGCAAAGAGATGCACCATGATATAACGTTGTTATTAACGTTAAAAATGTGGCTACTTAAAAAAGCTACTTCAAGTACTAAATCGGACGAAAATCAATCTTTAAACGATAAAAAGTACGAATTGTTTGCTCTCAACTTTGCTGGTAATTAAAAATGTATAAAAATGCGAGCATTAAAAACTTGTAAGCATGATAAACTTAGAAAAATATACATAATCCGCGAATTAAAACATCCTCTCTGGATTAATATTACCGATTTATGTGGTTCAAAGATCAGACATCTTTAAGCTATTAAATGAGCCGGACCGACATCACTAGCGCGTCGTTGCAAAAACGGCGTATCTTTACGCAATAACGTCGCTCTTCTCTTGCCGCAATGTCGAGAAAGGATAGATGTGAGAATGAGGTTTCTGCAGAAAGTGCAACAGGCACGACCGGATTATTCAAGTTTAAATTCCTATCCTAAATTGTACGTTATAGAGGAACAATCAAAGTCTGCTTATTAAAATCCAAAGTCAGAATATCGACTTGTTAGTTCTGGTGAATAGTACTCGATGATGTAATAGTGAGAGAATCATACGTTTGTGAACAATATATAAATAAATATAAGCGGGGGATCATTCACGAGAATCGGCCATATACGCGGTGTATGTAGTTTCGTATTAAGATATCTCAGGAAATAATTACGCGATAAAAGGAAATTGTTACAGTTATCAGATGCGTTGAGAGCGATAATATCATGTTGTACCTCTGCGTAATCGTATGTTTGGCGCAATAATTCTATACAAACGTCCGCCCAGCTTCTTATAGAAGATTTATTCAGTGGTTGCTGATATTTCGTACTTTCACTCGAACACCTTGACCCGCGCACAATCGCATCACAATGCATAGATCTGCGTATAGCGAGCTATACATATATGTGCTCCGTTTATTAATATTGCCATGAAATTTTGACGTTTAACTGTGATCGTGCGACCACACGGCGAATACAAAAAAGAAACAACAAAGGAGTAATTTGCGACTCTAAATAAAATAGATCGTTGAGTTTGCATGACAATTGAGAGATTAAAAAAAAAGAACTCGTCTAGATTTTTAAACGCCTAAAAATTATTATTAAATCAATTCCTATCCAGACAACGTAAGATCTCCTGAGGACGTCCTAAGAATGTCCTGAGGACGAAGAAATGTTCTCAGAACTTCCTCAGGGTGTACTCTGGATATCCTCTGGACATCTGTGCTGTTAGGGTATATATAAAGAGATATTTCAAGTTTCAGAGTTAATTGTTTTAAAACGTATTATAAACAAAATAAATTGTTAGTAAACAAATTATTTTTATATCAAAATGATTGAAGAAAATAGAAAATATAGAAAAATATACGAGAAAAAATAATAAAAGGAACAATAAGACAGAAGAGAGAAAAATAGCAATATCCTATACAGCACAAATCTTCAAAGGACGTTCTAAGGACATTCATACATCCTAAGAACGTCCCAGAATATTCTCTGAAGATTTTGTGCTATCTGGGATTTGATATATTTTATTATATTTTATATGTATATTCCCAGACAACATAAATATTCAAAATCGAGTTATAAGATGTCTTTAGGACGTCTTTAAGACATCTTTAAGACAATACCTTATAAACTTGTCTTAAAAATGTCTTAAAGACGTCTTATGATCCGATTTTGGACACTATGTGTGCTGTCTGAGATTATTATAAAATATAAAGAGAAAAATAAGGTACGCATAAAAGTAAAATACAAAAAATAATCGATCTCTATTTTTCTATATTCATAAAAAGATGCAATTTTCTGATACGTTTAAAATGGAAACCAAAAAGTGATGCGAATTTAAAACGACATAAACAGAACATGTATAGCAGTGTGTAAGTATGTTTCAACATAATATTTCACTTTTCATCTTAAAATTTATAATTATTCTAATATTTCGTAAATAGATACGCGCATATCTATCTAATCTACAATAATATCTTCTGTTTCCGTGAAATTACATTTCTTCTGTTATTCCATACTCCATATTCGTTTCGTCTTATCGTTTGTAAACACGATGCTTTTCAGGAGGGCGTCAGTGTACAGTGAAGATTTTGAAATATAGCAAACTAACGACACCAACTAAGGTGACGAACTTATGAATTACCAACAGAGCCAGAAGGTAAAAGAAGGACTCTGCCATTACCAGCCATCTCCAGCATCTCTATCAATTGACCTAACCTCGAAAGTACGGTCTTTTGGTAAATTGTAGTGAAAGTGATATATGTTTCTCAAAGCTTTTAACTATTGAAAGATGGCTACTGTGAAATTCGGGAAGCACCTGAAAGAGTTGAGAATTCTCCTGTGTCAAACGTCTAAATCTAGTCAAGGCGTTAGGTAAAATATCGTGAACGACGACAAAAATGTTCTACTCGATTCATTCTTATCACAACTTTGTCATTTTTTTATATATACATCTTGCAGAGACTTCATCGAGCAACAGTATGTACCTTTGAAGAAAAATAATCCGACATTTCCCGTTTTAATTAGAGAATGTTCCTCGATTGAGCCAAAACTATACGCGCGTTATGGTACGTAAAAGTGAATCGTGAATTCTATCTGCTGTGCTATCATGATTTAAATTACTGTATTTTTGGGCCCAAATCTTGTCACTAATCTAATGTTCGTTTATTCTCTTTTAAAAACAACATTGAATTTACAGAGTATGGTGTAGAACGTTGTATGGCTTTATCGAATCTAAAATCGGAAGACATACTTGGCAAAATTCGAGAGTTAGCGTCCCAAAAATAGATGTAAATTATTATATTGATATGTATCGTGTTATGTATAGTGTTTTAATAAAATAGTTGTGTCAATGGAATCAGTTAGTAAACTCATTTTCAAAAGTTGGAAATTTATACCTGATTACCTGATGAAGTTGTATTTTTTATATGTGCACAGTGGTGCTAAATATTCATGGATTATATAAGGTGATGGATCATATACAAAGTGATCATTCTTTCCTATTAAAAAATATTTATATTTTTCTTTGTAACTTATATATCTGCAACATAAGCTAAGCAATGATAGTAAAAAAAAAAAACAGAATAAATCTTGTGAAACTAGGAATTCAATGTCCAATAAATATAAGTATAGGTAGGACTTGATGCTTAATAAAGATACAAGGGAGATCTTATGATTTGTAAATATTATATAAGCATATGGGTCCCATTATTTTTTTTTATCTTAGGCAGTGATAATTTTTCCCCTATATATGAAAATATATATTTTGAGAATATATTTTATATTTTTGTTATTTTCTTAAAATAAAATCTATGTATATAAATCTCCACAGTGATAAGGAAAACCTGTGCCTGCAGGCTTCTTTACTCCTCGCTGACAATTATATTTGATAATTTTCTTGGGTTACATCCAATTGCATCTAACTCATCTAGTGTTTTCTCTGCGACCTAAGGCAGATAGTTTTATGCTACAAATGAAGGTAATCCAAAGCTCTCTGGTTTAAAGTCTTCCAAGCTTCCTAAAACTAGCGTAGCATCTTTCATGAAATGTTTAGGAAGCTGAGGATCTGGCACCATCACCACTTGCATCTTAGCAGCAATGGCAGCCTGTACTCCATTTGGTGAATCTTCAAAGACTAGGCACTGCAATACATTAGTAAACAGATAGATGTGTTCCAAGTTGTGCATGAAGTGCGCATTTCCTACAGTATATGTGACATAAACTATAGATAAATGCGCATATGCGTAACACGGAACATAGCCAGATAAAGATCTTGATTTTAAAGAATATATATTAAACTTTCGAAACAAACTTTTGAAGGATCAGGATTGTCAGGAAAACGTCTTGCAGCAACTAAAAATATGTCTGGATTTGGCTTCCCTTGGGGAACCTCAGGATCAGAACCACCATAAACTTTGTGATCAAAATAGTTAAATATATGTTGCCATCTCTGGGTTTTTAGGTCACTGCTTTCTTTACTTGAACTTGTAGCTAGGGCAACAGGTATATTGTTTTCTTTAAGATGCCGCAGAAGTTTTTCCACACCTGTGTGTAATTACATTGTTATCTTACAATCAGTTGTAATATAGTGTTAAATTATAACTTTACTGTACTTTGTACAATTGTGAATCACCTGGCAGAAGGTTACATTGAGGAAATAATTCTTGATACAAAATAGCAAGCTCGTCCTCAAATTCTTGCACTGTAATCGGCAATTCTAACAGATCTATTATAGTTTGCACAGCATCAGTGCTCTTGAATCCCATAATTTTTGCCTTATGCTGCCAGGTATACGTTTTTCCAAACTTTTGAGTTACACGATTGTAAGCCTCCGAGTATAATGTTTCTGTGTCTAGAGTAAGAAAATATTATCACCAGTTATTTTTCTAGGTAAAGAAGCGTATTGTTAATCCTTAAATGAAAAATATCAAAAATACTATGTGACATTTGTTGCAAAAAGTATGATGAAATTTTAGTTAGCGCAAACGTCATTTAAAATGTTATCTGAGTCTAAGAAATGCTTACCCAATAACAAACCATCCATATCAAAAATGCAATGGGTGACGTTTTCGAAATTCATCACAACTCTCGTTGATTAATATCTTTTAGGTTATTTACGAATGTGAAACCAATCGAAAATTTGTTGCTGTCACGGTCTTGAATCCAATCGAAAATTTGTATGTTAGAATATTTATTGAATTTTCCGGAAAATATACAGATACACCTAGAACTGTTTCAAAATCGTCACTGACACAAGAGAGACTTCAAGACTTCAAGCTTCAATAGATAGCTAAGTGCACTTTTACTTTAGTGACCTACGCCATTGCTCACACTGACACCTAGGGGTCTTGAAATAAGATTCAACTATGAATACCGGCCCTAGATTCGAATGCAAAGAATGTAACGTCAAGCTCCATATTATTGATTATTTTGAGGTTTATCATACAAAAACAAATATTTAGAGAGAATACAATAATCATCATTTCGAGTAAAAACTTTTCCTTAATTCTATTTTAAAAGGGTTAATTACATATTAAGAGTTAATTTTAGGCAGTCACCGCAAGTATGAATGACGTGTAAACAAATTCTTTAAAAATTCTAGTGAAAAGAGTTAGGGATCATATTTTTTACTATTGTTTGACGTATATAAAAAATTCTAGTTTAAAGACTGTAAAAAGTGGCTAAGAAAACCACCCGGACTATAAGAGTTAAAGTTACCTTATATATTTTTATTACAATTAAAAATCTCTGTATTTATGAAATGTATTTTGTAATAAATGTAAAGCTAACCAAGTATATGTATGTACAGTTTGTATATAATATTACACTAATAATGTTATATATAAAACGTAATATATTGTATATATGTACTTAATATTCATGGCTTCTATACAAAAGATTGATATTATACGTACAACAAATTCTATACGTTTTCTAGTGCCTATGTTTTTGTGCCAATCTTTTCTCTTTTAGTTTAATAAAATATTTACAAAATTGTTTTATAACAAAAAGAAAGGTTAACTCCATGAAATAATTAGATAAATGTAATAAACGAACACTTACATTACTATTGTAACTTTTGTTCCAGCTTCACAGATGTATTTTTTTCTAACGTGCGAATTCGTACTTTTATTTCAGTTGATAACATAACTGTCGCACGAATAATTTTCGATTCTTTCGTCCTTCACTAATCAGCACAAAGACATAGTTGTCTTTACATAAGCTCAGTTTGACCAAACAATTTTATCTATGCTGAATTAAATCATTTTCCGTAACATTGGAAATGCTATAGAAGTTATACTGTAGGTTCGATGGCAGAAAATTTTGCAGCGCGCTTGGCATTGCGTTGAAATATGTCGTATTTCGGTTTCTAAATACTGTTTCCTGAACAGTACCGGTGACATCAGTTTGAAATGTTTGAATAGTGCTCGTTGGAATAGCTTGGATGACTATTGGCTGCGACACCGAGGCGTGAGGAACTGCTTGTATCACCTGCGGAAATACAAGCATTAGAATATTGTCCTGCTATTGTTAATCGAAAACGTATCAACTATTACTTGAAACAACTTAAATCTATAATTTAGATTCACACGCTTTTCTCTTATACGATATTTTAAATTCGGGGCTATATCCTTAATACATTATAATAATCTTACTATTACTTCTCTTAGGATTTCCTGTTTTAGATTACTTATTCTTTTCTTAATAAGAGAGAAAGAAAGAGAGAGAGAGAGAGAGAGAGTTTAAAGGTACTAATATTTTCAATTAAATACTGCCTGATTTATAATTTTTCTCTCTCTGGAACGAAAAGATACGCAGGTCCCGAACACGCAGTGTCCCGTCGCTACCTAGTACGCCCTTCCCCTTCTATGGTTACACGATGAATAGTTTAAGTTCTTTTATTAATCCATGCTAACTCAATTCTCCGCTTTATTGTCATGAATAAGTAGCAAATTAATATTTTATATTTACTTGTACTGTGGTTGATTCCCCTTGAGATACAGAGAGTGAGTTCTCTGCGGGAGGCTGCTGTATTTGAGGTGGTTGTGTTTGTTCTGTCGGCTGTTGTAATTGCTGCTGATTATTCGCTAGATGCTTAGTATGAGAAGTATTAATTCCATGTCGACGCTTCATGTGCTTATTGTAGTTGGGCCAATTCGTGAAATGATGCTGACACTCTAAACAACTATACGGACGTTCTCCGGTGTGTTGTCGCCTGTGCGTCTGTAACAGGACGATTATGTGAATGAACGTAAACATGACGCGATTAAAAATGCGGCGTAACTGTAAACTTACAGTCAATATCCCTTTGAAGCGAAAACACTTTCCGCAAAACTCGCAAGTGAACGGCATCGCACCAGTATGAATTCTGTGATGCTCTCTTAAAGTTCCTTTCTCTCTAAAAGTTCTCCCACAAACAGCACACTGATGCGGCTTGGCACCAGTATGAACTGTTGCGTGCTTTTTTAATTGCAGTTGCGTTTTAAACCTTAATTTTATTATATTCTTATTAATTTTATTATATTCTTATTAATTTTATTATATTCTTATTAATGACACAAGCTATGTATAGCATTAGATTGTGTTTCCAATACTTTTACTCACGCTTTGGGACACTGATTGCAACCAAACGGTTTGTCTGCTGAGTGAGTTAAAAAATGAGCTTCCAAATTTCCTTTTTGTATAAAACTCTTGCCACATTGATCGCACGTAAAGTTCCGAACACCGGAATGAATGCGTTTATGCGTAACAAGATTTGGTTTCGTGGAAAACCTAAAAATAAATACTGCTAATTAATATATGTCATACTGAGATATAATCGTTTTAAGAGAAATATTTTACTCGACCTTTTATCACACTGATCGCACGGGTATCTGTTCTTCACGGTATCAGGTAAATGACATCGATTATGAATATATAAAGCACTTTGTTGTCTGAAAGCTTTTCCGCAGGTTTGGCATACAAACGGTCGTTCTGCACTATGAATCGTTTTATGAGTGTCCAATACCTTTTTATGTACAAACGACTTGCCGCAATCTTCACAACTAAATATAAATTATGTGTTATTAATAAATGCAATTGTATATAAACAACAGTATCTTATAATCTTATACAACGATATCGCGCAAACGATTCATACCTAAACTTTGCTTTATTCTTGTGCCTCTTGACATGGGTAAGAAACCCATAATACTTATCGTAAACTTTACAACACTGCACACACATGTACTTGGCTTGTTGATTATGCACCGTTTCATGATGCTCCTCCAGCGCTTCTAAGCTTGGCAATTTATCATCACAATCTGTGCATAGCCAAGGGTATCTCTCTAAACCTTCTGTCTTTTTCTTCTGTTTTGTTGTCTCCACTGTTCGTATCTCTATAACTTCTAATTTTGATTCTGTATCTGCATTAAGAATACTGCATTAAGAATACTACATTAAAAATATTAGATACAGATATTATATGTTAGGTTCACAGAATAGATCTATATATATTACCAATTAAAAATATACAATAACTTAAAAAAAGCAATATATTATAAAGTAAAATATCACATTATTTATATTTTTTGCATATATTCTTACCAGGTATATAATTATCTACAATCTTCAAATTATTTTTTATAGCTGCATCATTCTGTTTTTTTGCCACCCTAGAAGATATTTGATGCTCAGTTTCCTCCATCTTTTGCATTTGATTCTTTTTCTTCAATCTTTTTTTAGTTTGTTTAGGGGAGCTCTTCTTGATCTGTATCTTACACTTCTTTTGCTTTATCTCTAATGTTTCTTGTGATTCATTTTGGGAATTTTCATCCTTATATTCCTCAATATAGTAGGAAGCATTTGAGGTATTGGCTCTCTCGCTAATATAATTATCAGGCAATTGACACTCAACTAGCTCTTCTCTATTATTATTCTCACCCTTTGGAAACTCTACAGTCTCCTCCACATAATCTATATTTGGTTCTATGGGTTGTGACTCAACTTTTGTAGCTATCAGCAGTTGTCTCAGCGACACTTGAGCCTGATTGGTTTTCTCAAAGAAATCACTGCATTGATTCAACAGAACACAGCAGTCTATACAAACCGTAAGTGGCAAACCATCCGTTATTAAAACCTGTGTATTACCAACTAATTAAAAATGATCCAAATATGTATGTGTATATATATATATATATATATATATATATATATATATATATATATATATATACACATCAGGAATTTATTTGAACTTATTTATATAATAGTAAAACTGAGTTCTTCTCAGAGCAACCGATATAGCAGTTCCACCTTTACCTGTATTTGCAGGCACTTGGCGATCTTGGCTTCAATTGCGAGCTTTTGACCCTCGGTATCGTAGATCCCGATAAGATTCTCCTTGGTCTCGGCGCATAGCCGGCAAAGTTCCGGCTCCGTCATCGTTCAATGCACGTGCGAGACGATCGTACGCGCGAGATCGTACGCCGCCGCCGAGCGACGCATCGCGTTGAACCTTTACGCTGCCGGACGTAGTGATCGCGCGCGTATCATCGTACCGTGTCGTTTTTAAACAAGAGCACGCCACAAATGACGCCAACCTGAGCAGCGGACATGTTGTGTTCCTTGATCGTTTGCTCCACTCGTTCGCTCGTTCGTTGGTTGGTTTCTTCGTCGTCGGCTGATAGGAAATCAGTGACCGAACACTGGAATGTAACAAGGAAAGTTTTATCGTTTCTTGACGAACGCACCGACCGATCACGATTCTATCACTCGAGCCGATCGTTCTCTTCGCTCTATGGTATCGTAAAAGAGCCGCGTACTAGGATATCCTGCGGCGTTCTCCAACGAAAACATGAATATTCGCCGTCGCGTTTGTTTGGAGGAAAAAAAACAGCACATTTCGCGAGCACGCAACACGCATGCGCGTCACCATAAATGCTCGCTTGGTATTGCAATTGCTCGTATTTATCAACAGGTAATAGCAAACGTAGTTGCGGAAATTGCCGTTTGAGAAACAAACATGGCCGTCTTAAATTGAAAACAGTGTTTACAAGGTGTAAGTTTTTGCTATTGATTCATATGAAAAATACGCGAATTACTGAATCGATCCTGGCTGTTTTGCAGGAAGAATTTATAACATCTTTTCGAGACGACAATATGGATGTTCACTTTTACGTGTGACAGTAAGTAAATTTAAGAGAAATTCACACAGACGCAACTTTGCATAAAAACTTATTTTAATTCGGACAGGAAATATATCTGGCAAGATAATTAATATTAAATCAGAACAATTAATCATTTAGTTGTCTTTTTGAAAGAATCAATATATATCTTAATATTCTTTAAAATAAAAATTCGATGTCAAAGACAAAAAATGTTTACTGACTAGTCGAATGATGTCCATGACGTCTTAATGACATCTTAATGACGTCTTTAGACGTCACCTTGCTACTTGGGAGGAAACAAAGAGCACATCGTAGATTAAGCTTCACCTGAAACTTGTCTCATATAAGATACTCAAGTTTTTAATCAGAATTAGATCGAAACTTTACAATTGAATTATGATATATGTAACATTTGTATATAAATATATATAAAATCTATACAACTACAAACCTTCATTTAACTTAATTCAGATTCGGATATCTCACTCCCTTATAGAAATATTATACTAAGAATCATTGATAATTACTTATTATCCAGTATTTTTAATACTGAAAATAAGTAATTATCAATGATTCTTAGTATGATATTTCTATAAGGGCTGGAGGTGAATTTCAAATAATAACTATTAATACAGGCCCAAGAACTTAACAATGCAATATTTTTTAAATAAAAAATTCTTTAGCTCAAGAATACGACGATTATTTTCGTGTCTTGCATTTGTTTCTCGAAACAGTGGAAGTAAGTTCCATTTGGCGATCGTCATTCTATCTTGTCTCTCACTAAATGCTAAACAAAAACGAAATAATGTTCCACGATCGCCAAGTGGAACTTGCCCAAAGTCAGGAATCACATGGCCTGTTTAAAATTATTCTGTCAGCGTGTTAGCGAAAGTTTGCATTTTCTCACTATGTCAAATGCAACCGACAGGCCGTCTTGAACAAACACACGCATACGCTCATCCTGAATGCGTCGCTAATGTATTTCGCATACACGTGAGTATTATGGAATATACATTTTCCAGGAATTTTTGACCCACCGCTGTTGATCTCCGCACTTTTGTGTATCCTTTTTTCACTTACGTCAACAAAAAAAATTTTGGTCTTTGTGTTTCCATATAATATACCTAAGATATCAAGTTTTTTGTACAACTGAAAGATATTCCTTGAAATTTTGAAGGCAAGTTTAGAAATGACAAATCGATGAATTTATGAACAAGAAACTTATTCGGAAACATAATTATATTTTTCAACGACGAAAAGTCAATCAACCTTACGATGATTACGTCAAACTCATTGTCAATACTGTTTTCGAAATTTCCGAGAAAGTTTTCGTGGTTCCATCGAATATTGAAAGCCGCTCAGTGGAGACCTGCTAAAGTAAATTTAATCAGTCGCTCATTAACAGGAGAAAATCGAAAGCAGAATAGATTGCTTTTTAGAAAATGCTACAAGACACTGAAAGTGCCGAAAACGACATGGCACTCAGCCATAACGAATCGTTCGCCGTCCCAGAGAGAGAGAGAAAGAGAGAGAGAGTTCTCTTCACGTAGCTACAAATTATTATTTTTTACTCATTATAAAATACTGAATACATTAAGTTGTTCGATAAGTTCATATATTTACGGGATTTAAAATTCAAACTCTCCCCTCGATATTTTTATAGCTGGACATAACGTCATAACGATAATGTATTGGTCGTTTTGTGTTTTCGGTGGCAACAGGTTGTCGAAAAAAACAAAATTATGCCCAATTATAAAGTAGCGAACTTTGAGGTTTTCGTAAACATTCTGACAAACTTATCGAACAATCCGATATATATATACTTTGAAGGTTATTTATTTTACTATATACTTCCCTTATAGAAATATCATACTAAGAATCATTGATAATTACTTATTATCCAGTATTTTTAATACTGAAAATAAGTAATTATCAATGATTCTTAGTATGATATTTCTATAAGGGTTAGAAGGTTAGGTATTTTATTTTAAGGATATTTATTTTCAGAATGGTCTGAGGCCCGATTCGTCCTAAGACCAACGTCGATTGGGTCTTAATCTGACTTTAAGTCTTTGTTTCAAATAGTTTAAACGTGGTTTAATACTTGATCGACGTTGGTGGAATCGGGCCTGAAACTTCAAAATTCGAAACTTTTCTTTCAATGCGTTTTCAGGACGTATGCGATGGTCTAATTAGAGAACTTATTTAATTCCCGAAAGTTATCATTGGGCCATTGGCCGCGTTCCAAATTACATCGGAGAAAAGTGTTCAAATTATTTTGCAAACCAGTGTACCTAACGACCGATACACGACGATTTCCCGCGATCGTCAACGCATGGCAAACGCGGGAAAGTTTTTCTAACGTCGTTTAACAAAGTTGTGGAACACGGTAGGGCGTGTCGCATTTTTTCGAGGAAAGGTGCGCACCCGATTTTTGAGTGGTACCGTCGAGTGTTATCGTGAAATGTTCCACACTCGCGAGGTTGATGCTTGTCGCACACAAAAGAGGAAGGGAACGTCCCACACGAAACAGACGATGGGCATCGAAGTCTCCACGCAGATGCCCGTCGAAAACATCGTCCACCAAATGGTAAAAGTATTGACACGATATGTCCTCGTTGTGTATATATAGGGGTGCCTGCCAAGAAGGCATTGCAGTTCTTTAGCGAGCGTCTGCAGAACGGTACCGCGGTGAACAGCTGTCCTTCTGAGGTTCTTTTCTGGAGACTTAACTGATTGCAATCGGAGAGGCACTCTGCTGCATTTTGCTAATTGATCAGGTAAATGATTACAGCAGCCTAATTAAAATTGCATTGAGTTTACTGTAGGAAAACTATTGGGGTATAATTCCCCCATCATTATAAAGTTACATTTCAATTTTGCCTGAGAAATATTGATTGATAACCATATCTTTAATTTACTTCGATTAAAATCTAGTATTTCTTTCTGTACATGCACGAAAAAAAAAAATAAAAACTCAGTTCATGTAACTTAATGAACACACTAATTATATATAATAACATAATATCGATGTTATAATTTCCTTCTCAACAATGTAATTTCCTTCTCAACAACATAATGCGAGTGTTATATAACAGTTATATGTAGCTGAAGTAATAAATATATTACATTTATATGTAACAGTTACATTGTGGGAAATTGTAACATTGATGTAATGTTACTGTTTGTTGGTGTTTACTGAGAAATTGATTTTCTGCCGTTCCCGAATATCTGACGAAAACTCGATTATAAGGACAGAAAATTTTCTCCAGGAGATACCTATTCAGTTGATTGTTCTCAATTATCTCAACCGCGATTATCTTAATGCAGCCGAGTGTTCAGACAAATATTTTCGGTTATGATAAGAAATATCACCCCCTCTTTTCTTTCTTGTACCCGAGTTTTCGCCTGGTCTTCATTCTATTACACGAATTGAGATTTTTTTCCTGTGTAGTATCTGTGATACAGAATAGTCGAAAATAAATTTTATGCGCGGTTTATATATATATATAATACGTCATATAAGATTATACTCTTTTGATGTTGTAAAAAATATAATATATGTATTATATATATTATTTTATATATATTATAATATATATTATATAATATATTATTTTATTATAATATATTATTTTTAATAATATATTATATTTTTTACAACAACAAAAGGGTATCACCCTGTATAACGTTGAAATCGTGAAACCGGTTTGAAGAGAGTCGCTTTTTTAAGAGTCCGCGTATTTAAGCACACATACATACATACACATAATAAAGAAGAACGCTAACGAATAATCAGGATCGAAAGAGGGACGAACTTTTTCTAATTAAAACAAATCTCGCTCATTATTATACGCGGTCATACATTATTGCGCGATACTAATCTTGCATTTCACTTTTTACTCAGCGCAGTGGAAGGAAAAGATGATAGTGCTCGTGATTTTTGGTACTCTCGTGACACTGTCTTCCGCCCAATTCCAGCCGCAACCCAGTGGGCGGATTCTGGAACCTCCTATACCGACGCTTTGTGCACAAAGTAAGTCTCACTTTCCTGTACACACTGCCACTTTTATTATTACATATTCAAACTACAAAAATGTCCAAAAAAAGTATTAAGACAGCTAAAATCCGAAATTTTTACATAGTGACATATATTTTTTGAAATTCTGCACCTTGATAAGACCATTTTCTCTGCAAAATTACTTTGCACTTGTAACGTTATTGCATTGAGAGAAAAAAATATCTGACAAATAAGAAATATTTATTTGGTGCATACTAATAAAATGTTGATATAAATCTAAATTTTTTAATTTAAATAGAATAAACGATTATTTTTATGAAAAGTTAAGATTTATATTTATATTTTTTAAATATAGATTTATTTTTATATTTTCTTATCTGAAAAATATATTAGTATAAGTAAATATTTTATTGGCACCCACCAAATAAATATTTTTTATTTATTTTTTTCTCATATTCAAATGCTTAAAAATCAAAATACATATTTCAAGTATGAGCTATCAAATCGTTTCAATATATAGTGTTAATTACTTTTCGGTTAATAAGTGAAAATATTGCTATCATTGTTAGAGTACTTTCGATCATTCGTGACAATTGCCGTTATCATTATTTGAATCTTTTTACTGAATAGGTCTTTCGCCTGGAATAAATAAAGTAGGCGTTCCCAATGTTTTCGCCGAGGAGAGAGAGTTTCCTTATTTTCCTCGATAGTTAAACATTTGAGGGATCCATGAACTAGAGAAAGTTTTCAATATTTGTAATTGTAAATATTACGAGCCTCCTCCGCGAATTCTTCTTCCTCTATTTGTTTCTCCACTTCCTGCTTCTCTTTCCACACAGAAATGAAAACTTCAATTCGTGTAATAGAATAAGAATCAGACGACAAACGATATTTCTGTTATCGTGAATCAGAAACATTCATCTGAACATTTGACTGTGTTACTCAAAACTCGAGATATCGGAGAACAATGAATCAAACAAAAATTTTCAACATTTTTCTACATTGTTCTTATTTTGTTATATTATTCTGCTCCTATCCTACAACCCTGAGTGTTCTCGTCTGCAGACAATAGAAAATCAGCTACACGATTTAAATTTTTCTCATATTAGGACTAGGACTTCGAGATCGTTGCTTTTATCGTTGTTAACGCTACTCGGCATCTTCTTATCCTTCGTATCTTCTGTTTGTGTACTGTATTTTCCCATTGATAACGCTACTAATTATACATGATCGCCATTCGATACGTACTTCTTGATGGCATGCTCATTATAGAAAGTATGACGATGACACCGGCGAGTGTAACTCGAACGCAATTTGAATTGGAGATCTTGGTCGTAAGTAGTACGGAATGTCGGATGACACTTTCACGTAATTTTCGGCTAATCCGTAAACTGCGGTCGACAATTGCCGAGACGCTAATAGTAAATTATCATTAGAGCTTTTACGGTTCAGTGTTTACGGCTGAGAAATGTCGCCTTCATATCTTTTTAGGCGATACTGGATCCTGAAAAACTCTGCTACCAAGTAATCTCGTAAATAGAACGTTTATCGACTCGTCACATTTGTACTTTCAAAAATTACTCTACAATTTTCGCAGAAATAGATTAACAAGTCACTCCTTGAAATATTTCACTTTCCTTTGGAATATCGATGAATTTTTTTGTTCTCATTCGACAAAAAAGAATGGTATGCAATCTTGATAGTAGAAGAATTAAGTATATTCTTGAGGGACTATTAGGTGGAAAAACATCTATGTGGAATTTCATAAGCTATGATAAGCTATGATAAGAACGTCAATAAACTTTCAAAGGTGAAGGAGTATAAGTAATGTGTATGCACGAGGAACCGATAGGTCTTTAACTGATTATCCATTCGTTAAGTGTAGTTCGTCGGCGCGTCCGCACACGCCTCTTTCGTAGAAAACTTTCTTTTTCTTTATTTGGAAAGTGACGCCATAATCAGCATACGACGCGGGTGCCAATGTCTAGGTCGTGACTGTAGTCGCTCCGGGGTCGCCGTGACTGACACTAATATTACAACTTTCACTTTGTCCGCTTCACAGGCACTTCCCGGATAAATCTTCCGCGCCCAAAGATATTCATAAAGAAACTGCCGTTAGTCGGCCACGCGCTCGGCTTCTCTCTGCATATTATACGCCTCTTTAGTTCCTTTCATCTTATAATTGCGATTCTTCGCAGGAATTATCCATCAACAATTCAACGGGAAGGGCTATTACTTCTCGTGGGTTGATCCGAGGACGAAGGGCCAGGAGATGGATTGGCTTGCGAGCAGAAACTTCTGCAGACAACGTTGCATGGACCTAGTTTCCCTGGAGACCTCCGCCGAGAACGAGTTCATCAAGAACCGCATCGTTCAAAGTGCGTCTCATTCCGTGGAAATAAATCTTCTGTACACAGAGAGAAAACAAAGAATGCTAATAAGACGTTTTACTTGCAGACAAGGTGAAGTATATCTGGACCTCTGGCCGCCTCTGTGACTTCAAGGGTTGTGACCGACCAGACTTACAACCCCTTCACATCAACGGCTGGTTCTGGACCGCTGAGTTGCAGAAACTCGCGCCAACTAACGATCGCAGCCAAAACGATTGGTCCGAGAGCGGCGGGTAAGTCATATAGCTTGTAATACATCCATAGAACATTCGTGGAATACACCGGCCTGTAATTACGCACGTGAGCACAATACTAATGTTGTATCGACATATTCCGAAGTCACCTCTTTTGCTGAGTCATAGGAGCATCTTCGTTGCTTTTGGGATCAAGGGTATTGAAAGGCTGCGATTAAGTACTTTTTTATCCGATCACTGTGACTCCTATTGCTTTCTACTCTGTAATCAGCGACTGTTCGCGCAGCTATTGTCAATAGTCAAGGTCTGAGATTTCTTCAAATGCATATTAGACTTGTTGACACGATACAGAGCAATGTAGACAATGATGACACACTTGCATTGATTCATCCTAATAATAGGACTTTGTTTTTTCAAAGAATAATACGCGTGTTTTTGTCTTAGCATCGGCAAGCCACAACCGGACAATCGCGAAGCTATCCAGGGTGGTGCACCTGAGAATTGTCTGGCGATTCTCAATCAGTTCTATAATGACGGAGTAAACTGGCACGACGTGGCGTGCCATCACAAGAAACCGTGGGTTTGCGAAGAAAACGAATCTCTGCTGAGACACGTTCGTTTTACTAATCCTACTCTCCGTGTGTAAGGAGAAAGAAATTTCGGAGAATGACAGCCCCATTTCCGGTCGAACGGTTTAAACATTTACAAAGTCACATGACAATAATTAAAAGCGCGTCTATGCGTTAGAGAAGCGACTGAGTAGTATATAATATACGCTCTACAGAGCATCTTATTTATTATATCATGACGTTATTAATACCTCAATATTTATTTGATTGAAATGATAGTGCATGAATTATTTAATGCTTCTTAAACAGGATTGTACACATTTCTTAATATTGAAAAATATCACTATTCATATTCATGGATTTAATCGTAGATAAATGGAAAATTATATAGCAATTCAGGATTCCTAGGATACTGTTGTGTAGTTTATAAAAAATTATTTAAAATTATATATACACATATATTCATTCATAAAATAATACTAATAGTACATTCCAGATAGTAATAAATTTGCCAATGAATATCTCTATATATTTCTTCACTAACAAAAAATCATATTACTTATTGTAATTGATTTTATGCAGAAGTTTACAATGTATAAAATATACTTACATTATTAAAATATATATAATTATAATAGATGTTCAGTAAATCGTTTTACCTAAATGGTGTATTACATATTTATATATATTTACTCTTAATCTAATATATATGCTTTACAAAAGTATCATATAAAAAATCTGTACTTTAAAAGAAATTACTTTTTACCTTCCACCATTATGATGTGATACCCAAACTTTGTTTTTACTGGTGGATCTGTATAAACTGGTGATGCCAAACTAGAAACTGGTAATGCAAAAGCAGCATCTTGGAAAGGCCCTACCATAGAACCTCGTGTCATCCAGCCAAGATCACCCTTCAAGCAGTAGATAAAATGACATTCCAAATGCAGATATTTGTTAATAAAATATCTTTAATATATCTATATTACCCCAGATCTCGCTTTATCCTCACTATACGTTGCTGCAACTTCATTGAATTTCTGACCAGCCTTCAATTTTTCCAATGCCTCTAGTACCTTTGATTGTTTTTCACATAGGATATGTCTAACCTATAGGAAATAATTATATAACTGAATAATATAAATTTACACGTGAATAAATATTTAGTATAATATTACCTTAAATTTTAATAAAAAACATTCAACCAATTGCTCTTGTGTGTACAAAGAGATCCCAAGGATTAAAATTGTTGCTTTTTAATAAAAAAAAATTTTTTTAACAGAATAATAATGAAATTAAATAATTGTACAATATTAGGAGTTTGCAATAAAATATGATTCTTATATATGATTCATTTGCATGAACAGATTTTCTAACCTCCAATACGTCATTATTACTCTGTTAAAAAAAATTATTTTTTTATTGACGAAAGTCAATTTTAACTTTTGGAAATTAAAATTATCGTTTCTACACACAAAAATGGATCAATATACTTTTACCAAACTTTAAGGTGAGACCATTAAATTAAAATCAAATTTAAGATAAGACGTTTAAACTAAACTTTATTACACACACACAAATCGCGATAAATTTACTTTGACCGAGGATCCTCCTTTCTTTTCTGCTTTTCCACTACTACCCTCCGAGGATTTACCCTTACTAGTTTTTGCGGCACCGGCACTCTTTTTCGGCGGCATGTTCGTGTGTGCAATTTTAGGTTATCTTCGTGTTTATAAAATCAGACTTCTGTAGTGTATAAATCCGAAGTCCCGTTACAAAGTTTCAACACCTCAAAAACTCTCTAACTAATAAGTTATAATTTATAATATTAATCATAATATTACAAATTTAGTAATATTATTTGTCAAATACAAATAAAAATATTCAAAGAGAGGTAATTGAGAAACAAATATTAAACAAAGTTCGAAACATATTCAGATTGTTTCTAAAAACATCTAAACAGAAATTCTAAAGGTACCTGTTTGCTTATAGAGTTAAAGGTCTACAGAGCTGCGTTCCAAAATTCTACGATGGGTAGAGTAATTTAATGGACCAATTATGATAAAGAAATCCTAGTTATCTTTGTTCTTATTGGTGAATGAAATGCTACTTTACACTTCGAGTAGAGTTTTGGAACGCAGCTCAAGAGTCTTAGTTCCGATCCACAATAGATGCAGTAAGCTTTAAACCTTAAAAAATTGACCAATCACAGTCGATTATTCTCCTCAAATTTGACTGTGATTGGTCAATTTCTTTAGGCTTAAAGCTTACTACACTTATTGTGGATCGGGACTTAATCATAAAATAGCTGCGCAATGAAAATTACGTATACGCAAAAATTTCAAGAATAGGGGCCCTGTTCTTTGTAGCTGCACTGCTGAACTAGTGCAATAAGTTAGAGTGAGAAAATGTATATTTGTCTCACTTCAATATATTGCACAGTTCAGCAGTGCAGCTACAAAGAACAGGCCTTTGGTCTGTTCTTTTCAACTGCACTGCTGAACTTGCAATAAGTTAGAGTGAGAAAAAATATACTTATCTCACTTTAACTTATTGCACCAGTTTAGCAGTGCAGCTGAAAAGAACAGACCACTTGTGTTTATGCGACCAACAGTGACACGTCGTTGCGGATCGAAGGTTCCGTACATTTATTTCTCTTTATTTCTTATTATTTCATTATTCTTCGAACCTAATAATTTATAATAAAAATATTTTTGCGATAAAAATCAGTAATCTAATTTTGAGAATTTTTTATATTTTTTAAATAAAGTTTAGTTTATTTTTTCACTAAAGCATTTAATTTCAATTTTCTTAAGTATTAAAAGTATAAAAAGATACTAATAAGAAACGTGGTTAGTTAGCAAATGATTAGTTAGAAGTTTTCATGCTTTCTTTTTGTGCTAAGTCCACTTATCATTATATCAGCATTGTCTTTAATTATTTGAAATATTTAATTGTTTATAGATAGAGATTACATGAATGAGATTACATGAAAAATAGAAAAAATTTACAGCAATGAATATGTCAAATAGACCAAATAAACCAGCTAAGTGTACATGGAAGGCTAATGAGAAAAATTCACCACATACTAAAAGAACAGAGTAAGTTTATTGTAACTGAAAATTTACATAGTACATAATTTCTTATTATATATTCTTATTATTTTGCAATATGTGCATTAACTATAAGAATCATCCATTGAGTGTTTTATAAATTCTTGAATTTAGTTGATACATTAATAGGTTTGATCAAATCTAAAAATATGAACCAATCTGAAAGGTTACCAAATACTTAATGAATAGTTATGGTATCCAATAACTATTTTACTTTTTACTTACCAATAACAGTGCATCATTTCTTACAGATATAGAAAATTTCACAATAATATAATGCTCTAATATAAAAGTTTATCAGTAGATTGCAACAGCTTGTGTTGCTAAACTTGTTTTCTCATTTATCACTGTTATGTTATCACTTTAACAACAATCTTATGAAAAACAGAAAAAATAAAAAGTATTGCGCAACATAGATATTAGCATAAACTATTATACTACTGAAACACATTGATCCAAATAAATATGAAACTGATATCAGCTATTATTAACACAATATTCATATATGTTTGTATTAATAGTTCTTAAGCTTATTAAATTCATATACCGCAAATTATATATATTGTACATTTTCATTAATTCAATGTTTTTTATATTTATACAGTTAAAATATATAATTATGTCATATTTCTCTACTTTTAGGGTACCAGATCGTAAAAAGATATTGCCAGATATTCTAGATACGATAGGTCAGACGCCTCTTATTCAACTTAACCGCATTCCTAAATCCTATGGGATTAAGTGTCAAATGTGTTAGTAAAGCTCTTGTTTTTATATTGCATATTTAAACTAAGGGAAAACCAGCAAAATTTTTTTTATTGTTAATTTTATCTTTCTACATATAGATGTAAAATGTGAATTCTTTAATCCTGGAGGATCTGTGAAAGACCGAATAGCACATAGAATGATTCAAGATGCAGAGAAAAAAGGGCTAATAAAACCAGGATATACACTTATTGAGCCGACTAGTGGTAATACTGGAATCGGCTTAGCAATGGCTGCAGCAGTCAAAGGATATAAATGTGTTATTGTGATGCCACAGAAAATGTCTAACGAGAAAGTCACTGTATTACGCGCCCTTGGTGCAGAAATAGTCAGAACACCGACTGAAGTACATTGGACCAGCGACAGAAGTCATATCAGTGTTGCTCATAAACTGGAAAGAGAGACACCTAATAGCATCATCTTGGATCAAGTACTTTCTTTTGACCTTGATCTTTTCCACTGAAAACGATCAGTTTTGAAATTGATATCTCTGTTATCATAAATGTAGTACACCAATGCTGGCAACCCCTTAGCCCATTATGACGGAACAGCAGAAGAGATTTTTGAGCAATGTGATGGAAAGATTGACTATGTAGTGATTGGTGCTGGTACTGGTGGAACAATAACTGGAATCGGACGCAAATTAAAGGAATTGTTGCCCGATGTAAAAATCATCGGTGTGGATCCTAAAGGCAGTATTTTAGCATGTCCACCTGAATTAAATGAAGGAGACACAAGTTTTTATGAAGTAGAAGGAATTGGGTATGTGTATCTATTACGATTGTATTGTATGCAGTGAAACAACATGGTCTATGCAGTTCTTTCCATAGTATCTTGATATTTAAATATAAATAGTACGATATTCAAATATAAATATAAATATGTTGCATTAGAAAAATTTGCAAAAAATCAAGTAACGAAAATTTATACGATTGTCATGATATACTCGATTCACAGATGATCATTTAATTACTGTTTATTATTGGAATAATCAAGCAAATTTTTTATTTAAAAACATACTGCATAAAATAAAAAGTTGCAAATACTTTCATTATTTAATCCTCTATATATTTTTTCTTATTTTTATAATAAAATTTTAAGATTTATGTATAAAATAGTTCTTATATCTTTATATATGTATAAAATAGTTCTTATATCTTTATATATATATATATATATATATATATATATATATATATATATGTGTGTGTACACACACACACACACAATTGTGTAATATATATAGCTTAAAGGTAAACTTAAACTTGTATTCCTCTTTTCAGATATGACTTTACACCCACGGTCTTAAATTATGACGTAATTGACAAATGGATAAAATCGGAAGACCACGAGTCACTGCACGCAGCGCGGGAATTAATTAGGGAAGAAGGACTATTGTGTGGAGCAAGTAGCGGTGCAGCACTTTCAGCAGCTTTAAAAATCGCCAAGGATTTACCTGCAGATAAACATATGGTCGTTCTTTTACCAGATGGTATACGCAACTATATGACCAAATTCGTATCAGATCGGTGGATGCAAGAAAGGAACTTTTTGGTAAAAAAAAAAAAAAAAAAAACATCACATTAAGAAATTAAGTTATTACGTATATATGTGTTACTAAATTACGATCTCTCTTCAGCCACCAGAAGCTACTTTACCAAAGCCCATGTGGTGGTGGAATTTACCAGTATCGAAATTAACGTTAACTAAAGTTGTGCTTCCGAGGGAGATAACATGTCATAAGGCTGTAGAAGTTTTTACACGATATAACATACAACGAATGTTGGTAACTAATGACGAAATGCAAAAGCACGTTGTAGGTGTTGTCTCGTCGGACGTACTTTTGCTTAAGTTGATATCAGGTGAAGTATCACGTACAGATCTCGCAGAGACGGTTATGGATACAGAGTTTACCAAGATCTCAACCTCATCGATCCTAGGTAAACTATTTCATACTCTCGAAAGTAAACCTTATGTAGTTGTAATAAACGACGATAATGTATTAGTCGGACTTGCCATTTTAAAAGATATTTATAATTTCATCAATAACCCGAGTGCAAAATTACCACATAGAGAATAGCATTATGTAAAATATATCCATCTTGTTATATTTAATAATGAAAAAGTATATATATATATTTTTTTTTTTTTATTAAAACTAAATATTATATGCTATTTTACATATAATATCTTGCTACCTTATGACACATTACCATTTTGTACATTTATGAAATTGGACCATTGATTTATATCTGTAAAATTAAGTATACTAGAGGAATAGTACAATAATTTATACTGTTTCTTAATATAATATAACTTTACCTAATATCTCTCTTATAGCATATATTAAGTACTCATTTTTCAAATAATAATTTACAATATAAGAGCGACTAGAGATGTGCTACAGATAAAATAGTTATAAATAAAATATATGTTGGGATAAGGGAATTTATATTTTACATTTATATAGTAGGTACATATAAATTATATAAGATCATTATGGAATTGTTCTGTCTCTTGTGAAACAATGATATATTTTTTTAAAACAGCAAAAAATATAAATGTATGTCTATATATATATATATAATATCTTCTATATCTTTTAATGATATTAAGATTGTTACATCCAATTTTAATGTATATTTTTTTGTATCTGTTTATATGCTTTCCAAGTTATAATAAAATCTAATAGATATTAAATTCTTTGAACTTGAACATGAAATTTGCAGCTTGGTAGTGTAGTAGTTTCTGCAGTAACAGTACTAATAATACCAAGATTGGCTAAGCTTCCTCTGAGAAGACCACAAGTAAAAGCTAGTAAACGAGGACTCTCTTTAAGATACTGCTTACTATTACTTGTGCCAACTTTATCTAACAATCTAAAAGCATTATCTTGCAACACATACACTCCATGATGATTGGTTCTTAGATTATCAATTTGTTTATGATACAGACTGGACCAAAAATCTGTGCAGATAAATTTGATCATGTCTAATTCATCTTTAAATCTGCTCCATTCTCTTGTTAATCGTTCAATAATCCGATATCCAACACTAAATCCCATCCATTCCAATCGAGATAGTTCTTCTTCACCTTCCTGTCATGATATATACTTTTTAACAAAAACCTTATCATGACAAATGAAATATAACATTAAACACAAATAGCTACCTATTTTTAATAATATATTCACAAATTTACTAGGTAAATGTACATATAATACTTACTGTAGTATTAGATGATTTGCTCAGAACATAGTTAACCAGCTCAGCATGCAAGTACTCAAAGAGACATTCGTCTGCTTCTCCAGTTGTGTTAGAATTTGCTTTGGAATCAATAATCTGTTGCTTCATTTTCTTAATCGAGATGTGTATGTTATTATTCACTAGTTTATCAAATTATGTATAGTTTTTCTATGTAACTGTTTTTAAATAAATGTAATTCGTAATGTATTATTCACAGACATTTATTTGATAGAGTATGTCAAGGAGCATAGACGTGTAATAACCAACTTTGTTATAGTTGTCGATTAAACACTTTTAAATTAATTTATCATTACTCTCACATCTGATTGTAATGACACACGCAACAAAACCATTATGACATAAGACTTCAAGACTTCAATAGATAGCTAAGTGCACCTGACTTTAGTGACCTTCCTTCAATATTTGGCTAGAGGCGCTGCCACGACTCAAACCCCAACGCCATTACTCCGGGCTTTAGTAACCTTACGCCATTGCTGCCTATTATGCAGGATTCACACCGCGTCCGATGTCTGATGTACGACGTTCGTACAACTTTCAGGACAGAGCACACTCATAGCGTTAAATAACGTCTTCTCGAACGCAGTCGCGGTGTGAATCCTGCATTAGAAAGCTGTTCTCATATCGGATGTTGTACGTCGGACATCGACGTGGTGTGCATAAAGCCAGCGGCACACAGTGCTTGTTTTTGTGGTGAGCCCTTATTTTTTAAATGGTTGCGCATACGTAAGTTTTACTGCGCAGGTTTAATCATACCATAAAATAGCTGCGCAATGAAAATTACATATACGCAAAAATTTCAAGAATATGGGCCCTGGTTTTCTTGCTGGATTAAAATACTCTGTTTTGATTGGTGCATTTCCATCTATCTTCAGAAATGTACTAATCACAACAGAGTATTTCCATCCAGCAAGCAATCCAGCACGAAAACAAGCACTGTGTGCCGCTGGCTTAAAGCAAGGTTGTAGACAAGGGGTGCTTTCCAATTGCTTAACACATCTTGACACACACGTACACTAACCAGTTTATTGGTCACATATTGGTCTGGTTTACATCGTGCACTTGATACGCGTACTAAATAGTAACTTTCTATTAGATAATCTTAATATTGACAATGCATATCAACAGCGACGCATTCTATCAATACAATACGTTTTGTTGATGAGTATTATACCAGCTTAATATACTGTTATTTACATATATCGTCGATATTAAGATTATTTAATAGAAAGTTACTATTTAGTACTTCTATCAAGTGCACGATGTAAACCAAGCCATTATCTAAAATATCTTGTAAGATAATACGCAACCAATAAACTGGTTTTGTGTAACACAATGTACGCAACTGGAAAGCACTCAAGGAGTACATCTATGTAGATCGGGATTTATTCCACACCTACGTAGATGGCACTGCGTATGCAAAACAATTATTTCAGTCTTGGCGCTTAATTGTGTGTGATCTCAAGCAAATTTGGCTGATTCTTGAGGATGGCTTTGTGGGATCGGGTGTTGTCAGGTTTCGACCTCGACGATGAGACTGTCAATTTCGGTACGCGAATAATCGCAGAAAATAATGGTCTGTTGTACGAAGCATGCACCGTAGCGACGATTCAATCTCATGATCAGGTACTTTTGGTCTATTTGGCGGTTACAATGACAGCTTTGACGTTTTGTTTGATAAAACACGATATAATTGTTAATTAAAAGTGAAGAAATGGAAAAATTTACACTGATCTCGTGGCAAGAATTTAAGAAGCTTTCTCGCACGTTTGTATTGTTATTTGCAACATTGTCTTCTTTTTTAATAGTTTAAAATCTGTGTAAAATGCGCACGCGCCGATTTTCAGTATTATGGCGCGTAATTTAAATTTGGTTTAAGGATTTATTGCTTTATATTTGTCGCTATGTAAATTGTTTTTGTTCTAATAGAAATTTTATGATATTTGTATTCTTTCTTGAAAATTGTCAAATAACAGTCCGTCATATCTTTAAAATAATTTATGTTTACCTGATATATGAGATCTCTTTATACAAGTGTTTTCTAATATGATAAATTTTATAAAGGAAATATTATAAAATAATATTATTAAAATTGACGATTGTATCTTTTTCATAAGGTGGACCAAAAACCAAATGTTTTAGCATCTATTCAACATTCCAAACTCATCGTTGCAATTGATAAATCCATTACAATTTTTCAAGATGAAACATGTGATAAAGTATTTCTTAACGCTAGCTTTCCTTGCCTGATATCTTGTTACTGCATTTCCAAAGATGGTTTCTTTTTATTTGTGGTGCTTACAAGCAGGACTTTGTACTGCTTTCATATATTTGAGGGAAAATTGCTGTCTACGATGTAAGTATTTAATGATATTAGCGATATTATTTAAAGAAATAACAATTTAAAAAATATGTTGGCAGTATAATTTTATATTCTAATTAATAAATTCTATTTGCAGATCTATACCTGATAATGAGGCTAATATTTCTGACAATATAATAGATATATCTTTTAAGGAACAAGGAGAAAAGGCATTTGTAATTCTTGTCTCAAACACTGGAGCTATTTACAGGTATTTTATGATACCCATTTGTAATACACTTTGCCATATTTTAGTCTGATTTGTAATTAAACATTTTAGATTCTATTTCAAGTATAACTCTGAAAATGCAGAGGTTGCATCTTCCAATAATGATAAAATTACAAAAGATACAATAGATATGCAGTGCTCTCAGCTGTTTAAAGGATTTACTTATATGGAGGTAATAAGAATTTTCTTAGAAAATTTGTTTAATATGAATAAATCTGATTTGAATTGGAAATAAGATTTTTTACATATAAAAGAAATTTTTCTTTTTCTTACATAATTTCATAGAGAACTTTTTACAGTTCTTCAATACTATAGTAGATATATCATCGGAAGAATTATCCATAACCATGGTTGGAACAAATTCGATATTTACTTGGCCTAATGAGCAATGCAATAATTTCAGAAATATATTTTCCTTTGGATATAAAAAGATAAAACAACTAAAAGGTAGCAGGTAAGTGATTGAATCTTTGAATACGTGCACTATATTAAAAATAACTGAATTCATCGTTTTTATTTTATATTTTTTGTAAAATGTATAAAAAGCACTTTGTTGTAGTAAAATGCTTTGTCTGCGTACAGACCATGTATTGAGTATTATATGTCCAGATACGTTATTTGGGTTAAAAATATATGATGGCCCTGTGTTTGATTTTACAATTGTGCATCATGATAATGTTAATCATTGTGAAATTTTATTTCTGACACAATCAGGAGACAATACCGATATGTATAAATTATATCTTGTTTCTTATCCAGGTAAAGAAAATAATTTTTACTTACATAAAGTATTTTGTGCTCTTTCATATAAATATGCGATCTAACTTTTTCTTTTTAGACTTCGAGCAAAAATTTGAAATCAACGTTTCCACTACTGTTTGTTTATTTGAAAATTTACATAATTCCAATAATGTATCTTATATAGAAGGTGTTGCAAATGAAAGTAGAATCATTGATACATTCAGAATAAAAACGATGTCGGAAACTATTCCCGAGATGCGTTTAGCAAGATTGTTAAGAAGAAGACAATTTGATGCAGCTGAGACTTTCGCGGAAAAATTTTCTCTTCCCATGGAACCTATTTACTGTTCCAAAGCGGCATTATTCATGGAACAGCTTGCCCCTTGGGTGAAATCTACTCCTGATTCAGTTAGCACGGACGCGCTGATAAATATTCTCGATAAAATACAAAATGTACAATATGTAACTGAATGTTGCAGCAAAGCTCTCATTTCCGATTATGTGCAATTGAGACAATTATATTTGTATGCTCGTCAAAGAATAGTACAAGATATGAAGGTACCTTACGTTTGCATAATTTATACGCGTCATTATTTCTACATTTAAATGATATTACTTGCAGACAGAAAATGTAGATGATCAGCTGAATTTAAATTTGTCTTTGATAAACGATACGTTACACAGACTTGAGACTTTTCGAATGATTCAAGATATCGAGGTGGACGATACATTGTTGAATGTTGAGACAATTATGAATAAATGGATTAAATTCTCTCAAGCGAATTTATTAAACGAATTTAATATCCATTTACGCATGGTATATGATTGTTATAATCTACTAGTAATAATATGAGAACTACTACATATATTAGTGATTATATTTTCTCGTTATGTTTGGTGTTTCTATAGGGTCAACTAAAATCTGCCGTTTTAATTTGGACGAGACATCTTCCTGACATTATGAAGTATGCATCTGTGGAGACTGTGCGAAACATTTTTACAGTTTTACCTGAAGACGCGGACCCGACATGTTTATGGCCATGGCTCACGCATTTTATACCTACTGTATTATCTTTGTTACCTGACGCAATGGACGAGATCGTATCTTGGGGTTTAAAGAAACTGAAGTATCTTGAGATATCCCATTGTAAAGTATGGCCGGAAATTGGCACAGATTTCGCCAAAAAATTTATAGAGTTGCTTAAATTTAAAGACAATCAACAGTCGGTTTACTTCCACCAAGAGTACAAATATCAAAACTCTTTACTGAAGCAGCTTATGCTTTTGCTTCAAGCTCTATCTGATATTCATCAATTGAAGATCACCTACAGGTCAGCGACACAATTAAATTTTGAATTAATTCATGAATTGCGAAATAATAAATATTTTAACAATTGCAACAGGTTGAGAGTGTCTTTTAACATATATGTTGACTCGCCTGTAGAAGCGATTTATATGTTGCTGGATAAAGTTCATCTGGACGAAATCTCCGATTTTGTAAATATGTTTTTGAAACAATATATACTCAATAATAATTTACAAAATGACTCCATCCTTTGTACATATATACAGGTGCTTATAATTTTCTCTATAATTATTATGTTGGGTATGAAGAATTAATTAAAAACTATATTTCTTACAATATTGAGCTTTTGTTAATGTATGGTAATCAACGTATGTGATATTACATATTTTTAGAAAACAATAAAAAACTCTAGCAGCTGGTGGTTTGGTGAAGAAGCTGCATGGGAAAAAAGAGTTGCTATTATAATAGGCTTTATATATAATTTAGAGGTAAATATAAGATCCACCACTTATGTCATATAATTTGTAAAATTGTTATTTACATTTTATATCACGTTCTACAGAATAGATTGGAGCAAACTTTGGAGGTTTTGAGAAGGGCACCAGTACCATGGACCTCGACTATAAGTACGTTGGCAGAAACCAGCAGCAACTTTGACCACAGTTTATCCTCCAAAATAAAGATTGAATGTGACTATGTTCCAATAAAACTTGTTTTAAAAAAATACGGATATGCAACAATTGGTATAAATAATGTTAGTACAAACAACATTGTAATATCTTTAGAGGTGCTTTGTGTCCACTACATTAACGAACTGTTTGTTTTAGAGATTGATATCACGTATCATAAAAGAAAATCGTGATTCTATGATCAGTGATATAGATGTGCTAGCTAAAAACGATCAGCAATTGAGGCAAGATATATTTTGTCGGTGTATAAGCGCCCGATTGAACGATGGGTACTGTATTATTATTTACCTGAAATTTATACGAGAAGAATTCTTTGTTGACGAAATTGTCAATTTATTCAACCTACCACGTACATTTGTTTTAGAAACTTGCAGAAAGCAATGAATATAATACATTATTTGGAAGATAATATTGCTGATATTTTATATTGTTATGAAGGAATTGTTAATTATATTATCACAGCCTTCTCTTTTCAGGTAATACACTTTAACAATAAAATATTAAATTAGGGAAAATATAAGAGAGAGTTCTCTCAAAATTATAATTCATAATTTAGTGCTTGTCTGTACTTTTAGGATACATCATTGAAATCCTTGGAGTACCATATAGAAATACTGGGTTGCTTAGAATTCAAAATACATAATTTATTGGCACAATCGAAAATTGACTATTTCTTTAGCAATGATATAATTAATACGATAAAAGACTTAAAATCGTTATATCTACTAAAAAAGAATTTTAAGATTGATGTCTCATGGAAAAGTTATCGTACGCAAAAATCACTTGTGTTGCAGAAGTGTATCACAAAATTGCTATCGAGTAAGACCTTATGGACTAAATTATGGACTTAATAATCGCATATTAATTAACAATTCTTAACTTATGATATGATTGGCAGGTGCCGAGAAGAACGATTCATCGGTGATATACAAGACTGTCGTTAAAATTGCCGTACTGTTAGGATTAGAAAAATCACACGCGACTTTAGCCTTATTGAAGCAGACGAAAGATACGGATGTATTGCAGCAGCTTATTGAGTAAGCGTATATTTTAAAAAGTTTCATGATTTACATGCCTATATAATATCGTTCATCCACTCATATTGTTTCATATTTTGCAGTGGCGATGATAAAAATCCAAATGTGATGCCGGATGAATTTGAAAATATGAATGAGATATGTTTGTGTGCATTACAACATGCTGTTGATATAGACACTGTAGAAATAGTCAAGAACTTGAGCGCCTCGATGTTGAACACTTGTCGAAATAGCACGTATTAAATTTCTGCTGGTTATTACGTTGAATAATTTTACATTATTGATGAAACTAATATTTCAGGCGATTTGTCAGCTATATTGTCACTTCACACTTGTGTCAGCGTATATCCGAACCTTTCTGTCCAGCGTTATTCCAGCGAAAGAGAAAGGACCGCACCTAGTTGGAAATTATATACAATATATGAAGATCAGGCAATATCTTTGGATAAAAGGTTGTTGTCTTTGTTTAAAGATGCGATGTCTCTTCAGTTATGTTATCGGGTCGATGATAACGAAAGTTCAGATTACAATGTACGTATTTTATAAATGTAGTCATATTTCATTTGCAAAATTAATTTGTCTTGTTTGTATATAGGAACAAATAATTAAATTGCTGAGCAATTTCCTGATAAATACAAGAGAGATGCAACACCAACACAACGATTATTCTGTATTGCAAATTTTCAAAACATTCTACTTCGCGTACTGTAGTATTTCTGTGAAGAATGAAAACGCATTGGTGGAAATGAAATCTACACTGTCGCAACTTTTATTGAACTTGTTGAAGAAGTTATGCACAGGACGATCTTTTGACTTACACTTGGGACTAGCTTGTCTTTTTATGCTTCCTGACCAAGAAGCATGCAATTGGATTTCCACAACTTGCGCATTGTAAGAAAATTCAGTCGTTTTCAAATCATATTTTTCATAACACATATAGACGTGCATAAGAATTTTTATTCTTAGATTTGAAGCTGATCACATCCGACACTCCAAAATCTTGATTCTGGGATATGAATATTCTTGCATGGCAAGAAATCATTCGTTAATGCAGAAATTCGATAATTACAAACTGCTGAATATCTGGGCACAACAGCTATCACATTATTCAATAACTTATAGAGGTATCGTCATTGAATTTATTTTTATATGCAGAAAGCTGAATCTGAATATTATGTATGATTTATAGAAGTTCTCACAAGTGATACTTCGGATAAAAGAGAAATCTTACAGCAGATTATAAGCAATAGTAAGAAGAACACAATCCCCATATTGAAAGAATATTGCTGCAGTTTTGGCTTTAATTTCAACGATTGTTTGTTACTTTATTTGCAAAAGTTACTGAAAACATGGAATCCAACGATAATCACGTCGAGTATAAATAAAGGTAAGTAATATGAAAGAAAATATATATTTGGCAATCATTATTTTTATACTAAGTATATTTTCTTAAACAGATTATTTCTACGTAATAATTGAATGTGAATGACGTTTGTAGAATTACTCATCTGTAAGGAAGAAGTGAATGCACTAAGACGAGAATGCGAGGCGCTTGTTGCGGAAATGGAAGATAAGTCTATGTTAAAACAATGGATTTCTACGTCATGGGAACGTGTAAGATATCAAAGACAAAAATATCGACAATATAATTATACCTCCACACGTAACATAAATCTTACGTCTGAATATAGATCAATTTTTATCACTACGAAGTGTTCATCATACTGATGGATCTCATAGGAGACAAGGACATGAAGAAGAGGAACTATCTCTGTTTCCTGCAGAATTATACACGTAGCGGGCAAGTATATGTCACAATTTAATATCTATTAACATTAACTTAAACAATTATACGTATGTTAGGTCCCCTACACCAACGGAATACAACGAATGGATACAATTTAACCCGGAACACAGCACATTACCGCCCATCGCTCAGTGGAGGCTACCATTTCTGTTGAAGGTCGACTTTTGGAAACTTATCAGTGTGTACATTTGAAAATTCAACCAACGAACCTGTAATTGTCTAACTGATCTTTTATATCCGTCCGCTTTATTATTATCACAGCGCCTGAATTAAATTTACGTACGTTCGAGAAGTGGCTCGACATCGCACCGGTCCTCAATCTCGAGATGCATCTTATCTGCACGTTGGCCATCAAGGGCGAGGTGACACACGTTTGGGGAAATAATTTGACCAAGTCGAAGGATGTCGAGTGGTCGCTTAATCCGAAGAACATCACGTTGCTAAAGGATATCAAGAGATGCATACAACGTATCACAGATTCGGATGGATTCTACTATGGCACTGCGGCGTTATATTATGTTGTCAATCACACGCCCCCGGGCGCGGATCGCGTCGCCGCCGCGAAGGAGTGTTACGAATACGCTCAGTTAGCGGCGCAAAATTCTACGAAATTCGAAGAGGGAATGTTGGAAGTACGTTGATCTTCGTAGACCGCGCATCTTTTCATTATTTCAAGAAGCAACGTTCTAAATATAAAGATATTAATATATAAAAATAAAAGAATATTGATATATGACAATAAAAATATTAATATCTGTGTTGCTCGTCCGTTTTCAGAAAATCGAATCAAAGTATTTGAGATTCTCGTCTGAACATATTTTGCGTACGCACGGCCTAGGGAAAGACAAGTATTTCGCGTTGATCGAGAGTCCGAACAAGCTGGTGCACGAATTATACAAGGACGAAAGTATACCGTTACGATATCGTAGCGCGACCAACCACAGGCCCGATGTCAACGCTGCCGTCAACGAACTCTGTGAGCTCTTCTCGTTAAACACGATAAAGTTGCGCTTGGAGTTGCTGCAAGAATGGTTGCGATCGAACCCTCGATACAGTGCGCTCGAATTGTCGCAGAGTTTCACGGAGACATTACCGACACTGAGATCTGACCAGAGTATGGATTGCGAGGACAATTTGCTCAGGTAATTCATTGTCGTATATACAGTATCTCGCTTACTGCTCACTTTTAACCGCTGATTGATTTGATTCGTAGGGCATCCTACATGCTGGAGTATGAAGACACACTATTCGCACAGTTTCTCATAAATATAGGCTTCGATGGTTATCATGGCGAGGTTGAGTACGATTGCGACATGCGGTACCGAGCGCTTCGAGTATTACAAACCATCGTCGATACCGCTACTCTAGAGAAGCTGACCGAACGAGATCTGGGCACCTTCAGGTGCAAACACATTAGCGACACATCGCTTCATATAATAATTCATCACTCTACGAGTTTTTATGTTAACTTACAAGTTAAAATAAATTTGCGAAGAGATATAATTAATACTTCCTAGATCAATAATTTCACCAACTTCTGTTTTAGAAAATATATAAAATCGGTGTGCTACATCAGCAAATTGGAATCATTGGGATTACGCTATAGTGTCGATACTTTCGAGGCGTGCTCGAAACGAGAACTAGTTCTGATCCTTTGGAAAAATCAACGCCGCTTGCCGTACGCTCTTTCCGTTATAGCGCAGATTTGTATTGAGTTTGAAATATACGACATTCGGCTTTGGGATGACGTTCTGAGTCAGATGACGAAATTAAGAATGGTATTTCGTAGCTGTAACTTATCGGTCAGATGTAACTTGAAAATTACATTGAATGTGCGTTTTTAGACGAGCGAACTGAAGCGAATCCTATTGCAAGGACGAAGTCAGAGCGTCATCGTGAATTGCAACGGCTACAGAATGGGATGGCAATTGATTATTTCCGAACCGTTCAGCGAAATGGAAGTGACCCCGAGTACAGAACAAGTCAACAATTGCGTGGAGGCGATTCGTCTATTGTATTCGTGTCCCATTGCGCACGAATTAGTTTTTTCCGCTATCGTGAGGAACTGTTTTCAATGCAAACAGGCGAGCTTGGCCGCCGCGCTTCTGCCATTCTTAAATGAATCTGAAAGAAAATTTACGTTAGAGGTAATGGAATAAATCATTTCAATCGTGTGTAATTTGTAAAAAAGCAATTATATGACGTTAATTTTCTTTTAGATAATTCACCAGAAATGCCCAATCATAGAACTCACAGAAGAATTGAACGATTTATCCTCTAAAGGAATACTGACGACTGCACGTGTAAGTCGCAGAGATCTGTTGTTATACATCGCATGCGCTGCTGTTTAGTATATGTTAATTAAATGTATTATTTTTATATTTACAGAGTCTCGCCATTGTGCAAAAATTTGTGCCATAAAAATCGAAGATTTTTAACCAACAATGGAAGACTGGAAAGCATATTTTTACGTCAAGAGAGCATATTCCGAAAATATATTACTGTTTTTTAAAATAAGTCATAGTATTAGCAAATTTATGAGAATTTCTAACAAATAAAAAGGTTATATCTCTTAATATTTCGTGTTCCTTATAAAATTGCGATGCAAAATTCGTATTTATCTGACTATGTGTGCGCATACATGCGCGGCATTTTCGTATTGTCGTTACGTCCGACGTTTGATCGATACATATATACGTAATCGCTTGCAACGCTTTGCTGCGCTTTGATGACATATATTTTGCAATCATGGTGAAATTAACGACGGATGTCATTGAAAGAAAATGTTCTCAAATATTGACAGCCAAATCGCTCAGTAAGACAATGAAAAAGGAGGAGTTGTGGAAGTTGACTCACTTGCATATGAACGATATGTTTATCAGCACTATTGTAAGTTACATCGACATGTGTGTGTATGTTCAACGAATCGTGTGATTCATACCCGACATAAGATCTCACATTTGCATCGCAGGGCAACCTCGACGTCTGTAAAAGCTTGAAAGTAATGTATCTTCAAAATAATAATATATCGAAAATCAAGAATCTGCATTCCGCTTGCAATCTGACGCATTTGTACTTGCAACACAATGTGATTATGAAAATGGAGAATTTGGAATTTCTGGAAAATCTGCAGAAACTTTATCTAGGGCACAATAACATCATCGTGGTCGAGGGACTGGAAAATCTAAAGCAATTGCAAGAATTGCATATCGAGAGTCAGAGGATACCGCCCGGTGAATCATTTTGCTTCGAGCCACGCAGCGCTTTTACTTTATCTGTAAATGCAATGTGAATTTTATATATGCTGAATTTGCAGAAATTAATTGCATGTTGAAATTTATGTTTCCTTTTTCTTTTTATACTTAGACATGTTTAAAGATTCTCAATATTTCTGACAACAATATGACATCCTTGAGAGATCTAACGGGTTTTCACAAATTAAACACGTTGGAGGCAAAGCATAATCTCGTCGATAATATGGACGATTTGACTGCGACGATAAACACGTTGACCTCCTTGAAGTCTCTGTTCTTGCACGGCAATCCTGTTGTACAGTCTTATAGGTACAGAGAGAATCTGATCGCCAACAGCATTTCGTTAGGTAGGTTTCGGTAGGATTGTCCTTTGCCATCTTTATCGTGTCTTAGTCGTTCGATCGTCTTGCTCTGTGAATAGTTAATCTCGACGGGAAAATTGTAACTGACACTTGTCGGAGTTTCATGATGAGGTTTAAAATGGAGAAGCATCGCCGATGCACAAGAAAGACAACCAAAACACCGTTAGGAGATGATATAACGAGTAAATAACGCACGAGATTATCCCTCTTTAAGCAGCCACACGGATGATTACCGATGAAAAATCTGTTACAGACTCTTTAAACTTGCCACCAGCCTTCAAGAGGTCCATCTCACGGGCGATCTTTCAGCATCCCGGACCACAATTATCTATAAAGATTACACCCGGATCGGTGGAAACTCAGTTACAGATGTTTCCATTTTGGAAATCAGGTATAACAAGATTACGAAAGATCATTGTTCGCCTAATTGCATAATCGATAACGGATTTTTGTGTCATTAGCATCTGGTATCAGAAATATCAAGGATAATCATGTGACACCGAGGCCGTTCTGGAGCAACATACCTAAAAGCAAGGAGACCCGGTTAACACGTTCTCTTGTGAATAATAAAACAATCGTGTTACCACCCATTTAATTTCTCTCACCGATTTCGTTTATGATAAAGTAAATGTCGTAAATAAATCTCGCGGAAGAAATTCGTCAAGTGAGGAATAATACGCAATAGGCAGTGATTTGAGTTACGATACCATTTTTATAGAACTTTCTAGCGATAAGGCTACATTTGCATTACTTTCGTGTATCCTACTTAAGAATAGTTTCACAAACGTAAGTAAAATTAACTGCGATGTATGTATATTCAATAAAATTGTGATAGTTACAGATAGACGTCAGCGTAAATCCACGGTACAAAAATGTCAGACGCAGTGGAAGTATGATTAATCTTGTATAAATGTGTGTATGTGTGTGTGTGTGTGTGTGTATGAGTGAAATAGAGAAAAAGAGAAGTTAGGTAACTCTATTTTATATTAAATATATGATAATACTTCTAATAACTGAACAACAGAAATACTAAAATATAAACTTATGAACTATATTTGTACGCTGCTTGAAGATCTGTACATTGTAAGCTTGCGTTTCGAGTGACTGACGATAAACTGATTTGCTAAAATTCAATAAAAAAAAGTCGTAGTCTTGGAAACATCCGCGTTGGAATTGCATCTTTCTGGTCAATTTTGAATTAAATTACTATTACATAAGCATACGCATATTCTTCAAGCAGACTTAACGTAAAAGTATGATGGTCTTAAAAGAGACGGAATAAATAACAAAAAATAATACATATATGACATATACATACATACATATATATATATATATATATATATATATATATATATATATATATATATATATATATGTGTTAGTCACTGTAAGCATGGAATGTTAGACAATACAAAACATAAACGTCTTATTAGCTTACACAAGGAGAATGTAAACCGAAAAAGTTATATGCAGCTATATATTGAAATGTCACTCATATGATCTAGAGACGCATTGATCGAGCAATGTATGTTGTGTATATAAAAAATGAATAATCGTTTTTTACTAGCGATGATCGGGAATCACGTGAAATCATAGAGCATTGCCTTGCGTGCATCTAAAGATATGATCTTACGCTAAAAAGTAATTATTGTAAGATGTAATAAACTCATATATTTTGTGGCACACAGGCAATTCATCACTTGGCTGGTATATAACAGGAGCAAGCGGCCATTTTACGAATTTCTTATAAAATCTCTTATGTAAACGGGCTATGATTATCCTTTGTTCAATAAAGCAATAAGATAGCAAAAATAAAATATAGATATATCTTAATTAAAGTGATATTAATCAATGTCTTATTTATAAACATAGGATAAATATTTTCTGTAATCTGTAAACGCTACAATAACAAAACAAAAGTAATAGGCAAGAGTACAAACTCTGAAACAAAACGCTTCTCCAAATTACACCTTAGAAAATACTGGGAAAGACGTACAGAATAATTCGCATTTCATATAAAAATGTATAAATGTATAAAAAGTAAAAAAATATGCAAGAAACTCCTCAGTTAGAAGCTTAAATGCTGTATATAGCTTTTTTTTTCGTTTTTAATCGAAATATCTGCGCAATGTATTAACAGACGAAATCTAAAATACATGTTATTAATAATCAATAAAAAAGTGACACATTAAAGAACAAAGGTATAAGCAAGCCTTGTAAAACGCGATATATATTCGTATATGCTAATTTTATCATTTAAAGTACAAATTATAACTTGTACAAATTAAAACCAAAAAAGCTGCAATATTGAAATATATCATTCTTCGTTATGAAAATCTGTTCGAGACTTACTTCGCTTATTTCAGATCGCACTTGTAAGCTACGGTGGAACGTAAGTCGCTAAACTAATGAACGTTCATGTAAAATTGTAGTTCTAAAACTACAAAAGCTACAGCTAAATTTAGACATATACGCTGACCAATGCATCATTGCCCTTGGTATAAAGTTATATATAATTTTATGATCCTATTAGTAGTAATCGTTATATTAGTCACGCGCGTGCGCGAGTTAATTGAAATATAATGAAATCTACATAGTTTCTCATTAATATTGTATCTCTCATAATTATTATATAGCTGCAACATGAAAAACGATACAGTGTCATCATCTCCAACATAATTTCTGTATCTTCTCTAACATAGAGTAGCTAACATTAACATCTTTAGATATAAGAAACTATGACGATTTCAAGCATCTTTGTCTCAGTTAGCAATATATATATATATATATATATATATATATATATATTAATTAATATTCAATATCTAGACGATTCTCTGACTCTGTTACACAAATGTTATGTAATATCCATTTGAAAAAGCCAATACCAATTTCACAGACATTTCAAACTATACAAATACTTTTTGCAGAGAAGCTTGTCTTACTGCGTTTAAGCATTATGACGAATATTATACACATATCGTTCAGCTGTTACATAAATCTTGTAAAACTTTACTTTCTGTCGATTCATCTTTGAGGAGCTCTTTTTTAACAAATTGATAAAGTTATGTTATATATAATATGTATAACCCATAGAGCATATATTACTTGCCATTTCATATGAACATTATGAACCAGAATATTTCGTACGTATCGTTAACAACTTGTATAATATATTCTGTTCAAAGATGAAAGAGAGAAAGTAACGAGTTTATTTTTTCCTTTCATTAGGACAGAGAATTCAGATAGACTGAGGGCGAACATGCTTTCAGTAGGCTTGGCTGACTCTATAGGGATATCTCGACATTAATGTCTCAATCTGAAACACCTCTGACAATTATACTTCGCTGCAAAATTTCAAATAATTGTTGCGTCGTATTCAGATACTCTCTGTGTATATGACTATTAACCATTTCTCTTTACTGCTATATGAAATATTCATTATCGAAACTTTAAGTTGCAGGGCACCCCCGTCTTTCATTATCTATAGTTATCGCCATAACTATAAATAGCTTACTCATTCGTTTATATACACATACACGTGGCTATGTATACATTATATGTATAATGTTTTATTTATGCTCTCTTTTTCTCTTTCTCTCTCGTACGTGTAAATACATTCTCTTAGTCATTTCAATATGAACACTGTATAGTTTTATAATAGTACGAGGTACCATTCTCTTTATTGAAAAGATTCCGTCAATGCTTCATTCTTTCCGTCTATCAAACTCGATTTTTAATCGAGTTTAAGCTCGAGTCGTTGCGGCAAGCCGTAAGCAGAAATTTTCTTTGACCCCCTTATAAGGAGAAAGGTATAAAGCTTAATATTGTTCCTTGCTTCAATACATTAACCTGGTAGAATATTTATATTTATTGACGTTAGTATATACTTCAGTCTGACTTTTTTCTCATCACGCATACGGCAAGATGCGTGCACAATATACATATATAGTAACGTAGTGTAAACACCAATTTTTCTCTCTCTCTTTCTAAGATCAGTTTCTAAGATTACGATATCTTTGTTTGTTTTTTTTTTTTTTTTTTTAGACCAAGAGTGCCCTTTTCCTGTTAATGTATATGCATTAAATGGTATTTTCGAATTCATTACTGCGCCGTTTGCTGCTGTATTTCTATCTTCTCCACCGTCATGTCCGGATTCATGGCGGTAGCTTCCTGTATCGCCTCCGCTAAAGCTCGATCGTGGTCGATCGGATCGCCGTCCGACTGTATTGTTATCTTTTGCTCCACTCGCGTCTCGACTACGCCGTCCTTCTCTGTTTTATACTGTAACAAAATACAAAAAATTTAATGAGAAAACTGCACAGAGATAATACTGATTCACGTTGGCTCTTATTATATGGTACTAACCGTGATAGTTTCGACAGTACGGGTTTTACTAGATATGGTCTGCGAACTGACTATCTCTCCTGAGGCGCTATAATTACCGTCTTCGCTCTCGAGAGCTACTTTTCTTGTTTCAGTCGCCACTACAGGTACCGTGGTCGTCGTTGTCACGTTACTATCCGGTTCGCCCGTGTAAACGTGCTTCTCAGTTGCGATCACACCGGCTAAGTCTCCCTGAATCAAAATCATTCGGATATCCTTTAGTTAGGGGCTCTGTGTTCGACAAAATCAACGAACGGTAAAGGCGACGAGTTACGATCAGTAATACAGTATTAATTAGACATTATTGAAAATTAGAAGAGTATAATACATAGACAGATATACAGACAATATAGGATACGAATCAGCCTCATATTTTGTGTACATATGATATCATTAGCAATTTATATATATATATACACATTGATACTTCTGGTCTTTAATTTAATTAGTATCTACCTGACGAAATATTCTAAAAGTCGCGTAAGAGTTTTCTCTGTGTTCGTTCCTGAACATTCGCGAGGCAATGCAAAATAACAGTCTTTTGAATAAATTTTTCGTGCAGTGAGAAGATATGAATGGAGAAAGGGTACCTTAATGCAGATGCATTGCATTAGGTCAGCCGCTAATGTAAGAGACTATATAACTTCGTGTGGGCGCGAATACCTGGTTTACCAGTGTTGTTTCTAAACATGCACCACAATCTTCCGCTCCGTATTAGTAGAAGAGTTTTTTTCTCTTTTCGACCTTTCCTTTTCATAGATTACCTGATAATATTGATTGTAGAAGGCTTGCTGGTCATCGTCAAGATCGATCGGTGTGCCTGAATCTCCGCTGCTCGAGCTCGACGTGCTTAGTCTTCGTGAGAACAGCTACGCGCCATGCAACGTGTTAGCCCAAGCCGTCGAAATTATTTACGAGGAGCAAAAAAATGGAAAAAAATAGGAACGAAATAAACCATACCATATATAAGTGACACGAAAAAATGGCGGAGATTAAATTATCACATCAAAATTATATATGAATGTGTATGTACCGCGCTTTAACGATAATTTATATGCGCCAAATGAATAGATTTATGCAAACGTGTCAATTTGCGACACCGTGAGTAGTAGTAACGCGTGTAACGAAGCGTTAAGAGGCGATTTGTAATCTTCAAAACAAGACAACACTTAACTAAAAGACTTCAGAACACGATGTATACATGTATGCATTTGTACATGAGAAGCGATCTTACGTGCCTGTCACGTAATCCACACGTGAAATGATCATTATATATGCGGCACAGTTACATGAACTGATGGCGCTTCGAGTGTGAGGATGATCGTTAGAATCACCGTGATCGAGACCGATGCAGCGACTTGCACGAACGCTCACATGCTTTACGCTTATGTCAATCTTAATCTGCGTGTTCCTTTGAAGAACGGGAATATCTATCGGCAATTACCTGCTCGCCGGAAAGCACGTGGCTGGTAGTTCGAACCTCCTGCGTCACCACCCGCTGCTCCTGTCTCGTCGCGCTGGTCGCGGTCGTATGCGCTACAGTCTTTTCCTCTACCTAATGCGTGAACAATGAATTGTAGTAGCAAATCATAAGGAAAGAGTCGGGCCAAAGTAAAGAAGGGAGATACAACTAGAGAGTTTATGGATGATAATAATAATAAGAATAAATTTGCGGAGATTAAATTATCACATCAAAAAATTGCCATAATGATAAATTTGCCATGATACGGAAAATTATCTTTATCAGTTATGCAGGTTGTAGGTTTCAAATAAGAGTCGCAAGAAACACGTGTCGGTATCTCGACAAGGTAATGCTAATAATGCTGGATCACAAACCTGGCTCGTCTTCTGATTCTTTTCGAGGTCCTCGTGCATGGTGGCGGTGCGCGTGGTGACAGCTGTCGCTGTCATGTATGGAGCTCTACCGTCATCCGGTGCCTCTGCCTAAATACAACTACCACGTGACTAAGGCTTCAAGACATACGACGATGATAATAATAGTCAATCAAATAGAAGATATAGCAAGAGTTTTAATGAATCCACTGAGAAAAAAAGTGATTGATTTAACTAAAATCGTAGTATATTAGTTTTTCCGGCCATATTTTCTGATTGTCTCAACACGAAAATGGTAATGTGCAAATAATAATATGCATAATAATATAAATTTGCTACTAACATTATAGTAGAATTTAATAAAAAAAATTTTTTTGGCCATAATTTATAATTATTTCTGTGTGATTACAGTTACGAATACCATTTTTTCTCAATGTGAATATATGAAAAAATGATCTCTACGCGTTGTATCGCATGTCACACAACTGATTGTGTGAGTTCATAAGATCAGCATTTGCATTCGTTATTATGTAATTACGGGACGCTGTTAAAAGAACAATCAAAATTTACTGCGGAAAATGTTTGACGATATTTACTTTCTTTGCTGATACGACTATCGCGAAATCGAAATAGATTGCAGTTATATCCTAGACAAGTGTGCAAGTGTACTACTCGGTCTCATGCACTCAAACGAGAAACATACAAAAGAGAAGAAATGTACGGGATAGCTAATTCTCTATTTACTCGGAAAGCTTGACAAAACTACGATATCGACACTTGCTAAAAACTACTGGCAATTTTCTGGACTTTCTGAACAATCCAAGATATATAACTGCCCAGTAAGCAAACTGAGCTCAGACTGCGCGCAGATTGGCAGCAAATTTGATCAAAAACTCACAGCAAAACCATAGTCATCTGTGTCTACATTAGGCTACGGTTTTGGCGACAGATCTTGCTGTCGGGCAATTGGTGCTAAATTTGCAGCAAAAACCGTGCAAAGCTTGCAGCGCAGCAAGATCTGCGCGGTTTCTGCCGCCAATCTGCCGTCAAATCGCTACAAGTTCTGCGCGGTTTTTGCTGCAAATCTGCAGCAATTTTCCAACAACAAGCTCTGCCGCATATCTGGCGGCAATTTGGCAACAAGATTTGATATAACAGATCCTGCATTACATTTGTTATCTACTTGCCATCAAAAGTTGATAACAAACTCTGTTCGAAATCTGTTCGCGCAGATTTGGCTATCTGGGTGTAAGCGTGCAAGGGACTGTCTACTTCTTCGCTAAGTATACAATGCTACGTTGGTGAAAATTGCGCCGAATTATTTCTTTACTTGAAATCTACCGCGAGATCTGACTCTCGTTTGATGAAGTGATGAATTGCGATGTCTAAAAAGATTCTCTATTTTCTTTACACACTCCCCTCCCTCTCTCTCTCTTTCTCTTTCCCAGTATTATCACCTTATTGACGTGAGTGGAGACCGTGACTTGGCCTGTGCCACCTGGCGTGAGATCCTCTATCTTTTCCTGAATATTTTGCGTCACGCCCTCCTGGTCCTTCACTACCGACTGCTTGGTCGTAGTTTTCACGATCGTCGGGATCGTGGCTGGGATCGCCGGCCTCTTCAGCTTCGTGGCCACAGATTTCGATGGTGATTCTTGCAAGTCCTTCGGGAACGTCGCGCTGTCCACCGGCTGACCGTTGTTCCCTAAGACCACGCCGTCCTTCACGTATGACCCGTCCTCGAAGAACAGTTCCTGATTGTATGGCTTTCCGTACTTGTCGTAGATCTTGCCGTCCCTGATGTAGCCGCCGTCGTTCCCGAACGGCGCTCGCGCGATCGTTTGCCCGTCCTTGTCGCACATCAGCCCTCGGCGCACCATCGCGATTGTAATGGTCATGAAATACTTGTCGAGTGGCTTTCCGTTAGCCGTACAGATAATTCCATCCTTCACTACGTTTCCTTCGCCGTCGAAGTTCGCCTGTTTTATCGGTTTGCCAGCTTTATCCACCACGACTCCTTGCACGACCGTCAGACCTTCTGGTCCGAAGGCCTCCGCGGTTAACGGTTGACCGCTGACGTCGTAGACCTTTCCATTCTTGATGAAGCTACTCTCGGGCGGCAATGTACCCTGAGACAGCGGCTTCCCATTACGGCCGTAGATCAGACCGTCCTTGATAAAGCTACCGTCGTCCTGTCCGTAGATGTTCTGATTGAGACACTCGCCGGTCGGATCGTAGATCCTGCCGTTTCGCACCACGTTGCCTTCATCGTCGAAATTGCCGGACTTCAAGGGCTTGCCATCTTCGCCGTACACTAGACCGTAGCGCACTTTTGTGACGGTGATGATGGTCTGCTTCTTGTTCAACGGCTTGCCGTTCGGCCCGTACAGTAAACCGTTTTGTATATAGCTGCCGTCGTTGCCGAAGATACCGTGGCCGAGTGGTTTCTTGTCCTTACCATAAATTACGCCGTTCTCGATGAAGTTACCCTCCGTTCCGAACGCGGCGTGATTCAGCGGCCTCTTGTCTTTGCCGTAAATCTTACCTTCCTCGACGTAGCTGCCGTTTGGTAACTCGGAGCCGGCGTTCAGCAATTGGCCGCCCCAGCCGTACACAAGACCGTCGCGAATATAGCAGCCATCTGGTTTAAATGCACCTTGCTTTAGTAGCTGCCCGTTCGTATCGTACACCACCCCGTCCTGTATGTAACATCCATCCGGTACCAAGGACGACATGTTCCGCGGATGACCCGTGTGATCTACGATCTTACCGTCGCTCACCGCGATGTTGTCCGGGCCTTTGTCGTCCTGTGTCAAAGGTTTGCCGTCTCTGCCGATGATAAGACCGTTTCGAATAGTGTTACCATCTGGCCCAAATACACCCTGCAGCACGATCTTGCCGTCCTTGCCGTAAATCAAACCGCCGGCGACGTACGAGCCGTCGGAGCCAAAAGTCTCTCTGCTCAAAGGCTTGCCGGTGTAATCAAATATCACGCCGTTCGCGATGAAGCTGTCTTCCGGCAGAGCAGCGTTCAGGTTCAACGGTTTGTTGTTACCACCGTAGACAAGGCCATCCTTCACGTAACTACCATCCGGCTTGAAGAAGGAGAACTTTAGCAACTTGCCGTCCTTACCGTGAATCTTGCCGTCTTTGATGGTAGCACCTTCGGGCACCAAGGAATCTTGATTGAGTGGCTTGCCGTTCTTGGTGAAGATTACGCCTTTCTTTATGTAGCTGCCGTTCGAGCCGAATGACTCCTGCTTCAACAGCTTGCCGTCTTTGCCGATGATTGTGCCATCCTTCACGAGTGAGCCGTCGGGCCCAAGAGCCGCGTTCGACAGCACCGTGCTGTCGGCATTGTACAATAATCCTTCTTTGATCACAAGATTGTCCGGTTTGAAAAGACCTTGGGATAGCGGTTTGTTGTTCCTGTCATACACCAGTCCTTCTTTAATGGAATTACCATCGGCTATCAGTGGGATCTGGCTCAACAATCTGCCATCTTTGCCGTGTATCATCCCATCTTTCACGAAGCTGCCGTCAGGCTTGTAATATGCATGTTTCACGGGCTTACCATCCTTGCCGACCATTTTCCCGTCCTTCAGGTGAGTACCCGTTGGCAGTAAGGAGCCCTGAGTCAAAAATTTTCCATCCTTCGAGTAAATCACACCGTCCTTCACATTGGAACCGTCGGAGTTGAAGGAGTCGTGCTTGATCGGCTTGCCGTCCTTTGAGTATACCTTCCCGTCGGCGATGTAGTGGCCGTCGAGACCCAGTTTTCCGACGCTAAGCGGTCGCCCGTCTGGTCCATGAATCAGTCCGTCGCAGATGAACGTGTCGTCAGGCACGACTGCAATTTGGTGAAGAGGCTTGCCCTCCTCGTTGCACACTATACCGCCGACTATGTAACTGTTGTCTAGGTTGTACGATCCTTGGGTCAACGGTTTTGAGCCCGAGGTAAATATGAGACCTTCCTTCACGTATGTGCCGTCTGCGTCTAGTGGGCAATGCTGCACCGGTTTGCCGTTCTTTGATAACACCTTACCCTCTTTGACGATCGCGTGATCGGGTCCCAAGAAAGATTGTTTCACCACTTCGCCGTCCGGCGAATAAATGAGCCCGTTTTTGATGGAGTTCCTGCTGGTACCGAATGTTTGCTGATTGTAAGACTTGTTATCCTTCCCGATGATCAAGCCGTTGCTGATGTGCATTCCATGCGGTCCGAGCTCGGCCTTTTTTAGCGGATTACCGTCCTTCCCGCAGACCTTGCCGTCCGTCACTCTGCTACCGTCTGGTCCGAGGTGGCTCTGATCTAATGGCTTACCTTCTTTGGTATAAATCACACCTGCGATCACCCTCGAGCCGTCGGGAAGAGGCAAGATGTGGTAGTCTGGTTTAGACTCTACCGGCGCAGGCGGCGCTACCTTCGCCTGGCTGGCGGCATCCTCGATGGCGTGTTGACATTCCCCAGCGATAAAGGCCGTCGTAAGGTTCTGGTCGACATTCGGTCGCGCGGTATTCTTCTGTTGCTCCTTCAGGCCAGCGGATTCTACATAATTAATTCCCGGAGTTTTTAAGTCTGCTGGCGGCAGTTGTTTGTCCGCTTCCTTCGTTTTCCTCTTCTCCGCGGATTCTGCGACCTTCTTCTCCTCTCCCGGAGCGTAGTTGAACGCCAATCCCGTAGCCTTTCGACTGGCCGAGGTGGGTGATTGTTTGTCCTGCACTCCTGGCGACGCGGGCCTGTCTTCGTATGAAAATCCGTGCGGGGTGTACGGTTTCTTCGTGGGCGAAGCTTCCCTTTCCTCGTAGTCGTAAGGTTTCGTGTAAATGGGAAGTTGAGGTGTTTTCGCGGGTTCTTGCGCTGTATCCGTCTTCGTGACCAGCTCCTTTCCTTGTTTCTCCAACGTGGAAAGATTTGACTCCGCGTCGCTCTTTTCCATGGATTCGTCTAGCTCTTTGTTCTTTTTCTGTTTCTTGTCCTTCTTGGCAAACAGGAAACCACCGACAGGACTCTTGGGGTAATATATAAAAATACATGCAGTACAAAATACATGCTAATATACGTACGTGATATGTAATTTACATGAAAGACATTTCACATATATAGATCAAAAGCTGGTATATGTAAATGCCTACGTATTAAATGCGAATCCAACGCGAGATATAAACTAATGTCCATGCATACCTGAATTATGGACATATATATATACGTTTAATTAAAAAATAATAATGCATTCAAGGAGATACTTCTTCAGTTTATTAGTACGGGACTCTCCTAGAGCATTTCATTGAAAGATCAATGTCGAAGATGACAATAACGTTGAAACCTAGCATATCGTGACATTATTTATATAAGAAAGAAATATTGAAAAACTTTCTGTTTAACCATACACACGTATATAAATATATATACTTTCAATATATATTTTCGTGAGGTCACATAAGAAGCAGCAACGCGTACAACGCAATATAAGCTTACCTTGACTTTCTCCTTCTTTTCTTTATCCATTTTTTCCGGCGTTTCCTTGTCCTTCTTTTTCGATTCTTTTTTAGACAGTGATTTGTCATCAATGTTGTCAAGAAGAGCATTGTCATTAATCAGATCAGAATTATTCAGATCATTGTGATTTTCCTTCTCATTCTCATTTTGTTTATCCTTCTTCTTCTTTGATAGACCACCGGGCGGTAGGACAGCGATTCCTCCGACCGGTTTCTACAAGTAAATTTATCCAGTCACAGGACGCCTCATGCAACAAGCATAAAGCCGCTACGTCGCTAAAATATAATACAAACTACACGACGGCGCTACGATGGAGAATAGAATGCAACGCATGCTCGATGAATTTTACGGTCTGCGCTCTCAAAATATGTGTATCACAATCGTCATCTTTCACGCCTTTAAATCCGTCGGGTGTTACGCAACACATTAGATTTCTGTTTAACGTTCAACGGTTCGTGACACGCTAATGCATTCGAGTTGTTTCCTCGTTAGATCTAACGGTAAGACTGAAGAGCGGTTTTGTGCGACTCGACAACTACAACGTACAACGACAAACTAATTCGCTAAGTTCTCATCCATGCCCGCGTAGAACACTGCTCGATGTTGCACGTCGAAAATGGGGATCTAACATCTCCCAACATTGAGGCGATGGCCGTATGATTTTTTTGCGTGGAATATAAATAAAAGGTACATATGTATATAGCGGCATGCATTGGATAAAAACAAAACACCAAGTGGTCACATACAAGACAGCACTGATATATATACATATATATATATATATATATATATATATATATATATATATATATATATGTATGTATATATCTAGGATATATTGTTAGCGGAAGCGTCCCAGGGTAAAATTCTATACCTTTCTCCCGCGATCCGCATCGTATTCTCCCTCCAGGCTACTGGTGCTGCTAGCTGATGTTGTTCCCGCACTTGTTTTTCGTGAGAGCTATCGATGTCAGTTACGTGTCAGTTAATAATTAGGGCTAACACACAAGTATTCGATGCAAAAATATGTTATTCTTTTCTTTTCCAAAGCGTCCTGATCTCGGTAGATCTTTACGCGACAGCTGTTTATAATTCCGAGCTCGATTTTACTCACAGCTGATATATATATATTACACACAGTATTATCATGCTTTTATCACGACTCGATATGCCGAATCTGTACAACTCGAAATTTATCGCAATATGCAAGGGTGAGTCAATGAACATGCTGTGAATTGGCACACACCAGTATGGCATTAGTACATAAATGTGCGAAAAATGCATAATTCGCTCTATTGATTCACCCACGCATTAATAGAGAACGTGAGCCAATTAGTGTTTCGACCTGCGTAATACAATTTTTCAGAAATATATTCAGTGTATATTATCGCGCTGCTGTATTATTGCAAAACGCGTAAAATCATTGTACCCACGTATAGATCGTATTTTACCGCGATTAAATAAATATAGTTTGAAAGCGTAGACCGCAGACGGGAGCTAGAAATGATGACGCACATCTTTTATGAATTCCTCTATTGGTGAAAAGTGAACTCCACGTCCGCATGAAGAACTCATGCATACTGTACTTTATAATGCTCTTAATAATATGAAAAAAGAAAATGTACGCTGACAAACGCATAGGTATTACCTTCTCTTTCTGTTTCTTGATTGGACTAGGCCGTCGGTCTATATGCTCTATATCGTCGGGAAGCTCTATGTCAGGCTCATAACTCATGGTGTGTCGTTTGCTCGGTTCTGAACCATACGTTTCGACTGGTTTAGGCCCACCTAATGCTGTACAAGGCAGTCACACTACTTCAACATCTTAGTATAATACTCGAGAGTACGAGTGTAAAAAAAGGCACTTGTGGCTCGTAGCGGATATGGACTGGAGACGTTGCAGAGAGTAAAACGACGTGTTCGAAAAAATCGATACATAGATCAAGAATAATGCCACTCTAATATAACAAGAACTCATGCTTATGCAAGCTTGTCCTAATGAAACAAATTTTGAAATCGGACATACCCCTCTCTGCTAGTGAGAACACGTGTAATCTTAATTGTTGCAATTAAAGAGAGAATGTGTGTGTATCACTTTTTTCTCTCTTTCCACTAGATTATCATTACTTTATCGTACATATACGTTTGAGTATCATTCACACGCGACAAAAGTTTGTATTTACCATCCATGCTTCGGGAGGCAAGTCGTCGGCCACTCAAGGACCTCTCGAATTGCGGAGGTTGCCTGTCGATAGGAGTCTTTTTCGTCTCGTAGTGAGTTCTTCCAGAGTATCGGAAACGAGATCCCAGATGTGGAATTAATCCCACTTTCTTTACAGGCTCCGGACTCATAAGCCTGCGAGAGAAAGAGAGAGAGAGAGACATTTGTCTCATTAAAGCGTATCAAAATAAGAAAGAAAAGAAAAAGAATCTTGGTTACAGATATTGTCACCTACCTGAAGAAAGTATGATGCTCTACTGACACTTTCCACAATTTCTTCGCCGCTCTGTAGTTAGCTAGCTTGAATCCGATAGTAGATTCAAACTGCTCAAAATCACCCGGTCTGATCTTGATGTAGAAATTGTGTCTCTTGTAAGAGATCTTCAGTATCTTTGGCCAAGCAAACCTATTGATTCTCAAACGATCCCTGTAGACGAGGAGGCCCGAAGCACACACACCTAACATTATGTCGACGCCTTCAGAATCCTTCGCGGGATGAAGATCCACACCGTACATGGCCAGTTTCTTCGCGTTTTCGAGATAATGCAGTTCCGCCTCGGCGGGTGTTTGACCTCTAAAACACAACGACAGATCGGCTATGTAATAAATCAATCATCGATCGACACACCGATTCATTTCTTCCCCCAATACCAATGAGAAGACTATTAAGTGGAGATAAAATTTACTTATGCGTTTTATGAAGGTCCATAACTTTTTCCACCAACTCGGATGTCTGGCTAGGTGCGAATTTAAAATCCTTCAGGTATGTTCTGCCATGTTCCTCAGGATCGTAATCCCCAACTTCTGACTGTACTAGATAAGAGCCCAAAAGCGCGTGTGTCACAAAGGAACACAGCAACCGTCCAGTGATAATGTCATTTCTGATCTGCAGACATAGCTGGTAACGCGTGATATCCTCCTGCAACTGTGCCGGGTCCGGTGGATAGAACTTCACCTCGAAGTTGAACTTCCACGGTTCGTCTGGAAGTACGTATTAACTTTAGTGGAAGCATACCGTGGCACGTGATACCGACTTTTACGAGTAACAGAACGAAATCGCTGTGGCTCCCGTACTTTTTACAAATTTCGCGATCTTCTTGTGTAGATCCAACCAATTGCGTGGATCGTGCCTGTCCTCGTAGATGAGGCCGAAGTAATCCTTCTCCAGCAGATTCATACTCTGACAGATCATGTCGAGAAGTTCCTGTCCTCTCGCCTTCCTCTGTAAACAGGAAAGATACACTTGATGTTCCAGACAACAAAGCAGATATTTCCCGTTTCTCATGTGAATACAAGCCGAACTCTTCCGGTGACTTACGTCGATGTAGAAATCCTTAACGGTACCGTCGAGGAGCGTAACCTTGGCGAGGGCCATCTTTCCCTTGCTAACTGGACTCTTTGTGGGCGAGTTCGTCCCGGTCCCATTCTCCGCCGTTGCTTCCGCTGGAGCACCAGCGGTCTTCTGTTCCTCCGGCATGTTTCTGCTCTATTCGCGCGAATCTGAAATTAAACGGACATTTCTATCTCCGGAACGGCGAGATGGAAGGTAAAGAAAGCGCATTTCCTGGTGTAACATAACGTTTGACGGCAGAGAAACTTCAATCGGATACCAATCTCATTTCCGTGCCGTGAAGCAAGTTTGTCACCCCACTTTTGAAGTATTGACATATGTGTGTGTGTGCTCTTTCGTATATAAATAAATAAATACATATATAAAATATATTATGTGCATTATGTATTTATATGTATAGGATGTCAGATAATTATTGACACACCTGATGTATACAGATAGAACTCATCAAACTGAACGTAACATTCCTTTACTCTTTCGCAAACAACTACCTAAAATCTTAAATTATTAATTAAAGAGGATTAGTGAATGATCAAGTGCGATATGGCAGATGAGCTGTGATGCAGACGTCTGCTTATAGTATACTCGTACATTAAACTAAGCAAAAAAGATCCTGTACCATTCTGCAAATAACGTAGAATTTTAAGACGTCGTAGTTCATCTGTCACGTCGCGCGCAATCATTCATTAATCTTCTTTAATTAATAAGATTTTAAGTACATCAAACTGAACACAAAATTCCTCTTTACCATATTTCTTCTTTGATTGTTTAAATCAAAGTATGTACATGGTGCTTGTCAATTAATAATATACTTATTGTATGCAGGTAGAATTCGTCAAACTGAATACAAAATTCCTCTTTACCATATTTCTTCTTTGATTGTTTCTTATTGAATTTCATATATCAATTAAAGAAGATTGACATATGAAATTCAATAAGAAACAATCAAAGAAGAAATATGGTAAAGAGGAATTTTGTGTTCAGTTTGACGAATTCTACCTGCATACAATAAGTATATCATTAATTGACAAGCACCATGTACATATTTTTTTCGACAACAACAAAATAATCGTAAAAGGGCGCGCCCAAGGCGCGACTTATCTCGGTGCTTTTCTACGATCTCGATGGTGTGGACAGCGGAGAAGGTCGCGTGTCGGCGCGGTATATCTGCCTCTAGATCCCCGTCTAGACCTGAGGGTGCCGCGCGGAGAAATAATCAATATTTGCGAGGGTTGCTGTACGCGCGCCTCGGTGCACACGCGGCGTTTACGATTTCGTTATTAATGAGGAACAGAAATGTACGATGTGTTGGTCGAGGGGGCTTCGTCCAAAGCAGTCTATATAGCTTGCAGCAACAGCGGGGTACACCACCATCCTTGAACTTCGCAACGAGGGTGTATATATCTCGATGACGCGTGAGCGCAATTTCTACTCATAAAAATAGCGCGTTGCCTCACATACGCCTCTCTCGCGTAAAAAGTGTTACGTAAGAAGTAAAAAATAACGGTGAGGTAAAAGATCTCGTAACGATTATAATAATACATGCCTTTTCGTAAGGCCTCTTCCTCCTCCTCTTTCCTTTCCTGATGCCCGCGAACGAAGATCAGCTTTTTTCCGCGACGTAAGCGTTTATTTGCCATTACCATATACCTCTCTTTCTTTCTCCCCGCGCGGGATAATATTCGCAGGAGCTCCTAAACAACAGGAACCACCGTGGAGAGGAAAACACGGTGATGCAACTGTTTGCGATAATGCCGGCAATTTCCCACGTGAAAATGTCACGAATGCGTCCTACGCGCGCGATTATTCCGTAATGACTCGTGTTGGGCTCCGTGCATGCGTGCGCTTAACGCATTGTCCATCCCCGAGAGAGCGATACGTTATGTAAAACGACGGTGATTCCGTAATGTTTTGCGAGTGCGCGCTGCTGAGCGTATTCCGTATGCACGCGCGTGCATTTTACTGTAGCGGTCGTTCACCTTTCTACAAGATAGATCGCGCCGAAGTGAGTACGTGCCGCGACGTCTCGGTGCCAAATGTCCCCACATCGAGGACGATTTGCTGCTCGGCCCGCGGAAAACTTTCGTATCGCAGCAGCGATACTTCGCAGACAGGTAACGCGTCGAAGTTTCAATCGTCGCGACCGCACGTCGTCGGGGAAGCACACCCAACCAGACGATTCGAACTCTTGGCTGCAAATTCAATCGATTCAATACTCGCGAGACGAAAAGATATTCGATGTAATAATAAATAACCGAGGAAATTAGATATTACTAATTTGACATGCTCACGCATGATGCGAACTTCTCGATATCATGATTTTTGTAGAAAATAATGATGCAGTAGCGGAATAAGATGTCTCTAAATTTTATCAAATACTGTTCTCTTTCCCCTCTCTCTAAAATCATTTCCCTAAGAGCATTTTACTTTTACTATAATTTCTGTAGGAAATACAAAATTATATTATATTATATAAAATAGAATAAAATATTTTCAAATTTTATCAATTTTTATCCTTTTTTTTATATAAGTTACTTTGGATAATTTAAAGTTATTTTTTTCGGTATTGTAATAAGTAATAAACAAAATACTGGAAAAATAATATCAAGCAATATAACGATAATTATCTAGAAACACAAAGTAAGAGAGTAAATTGTGTCATTCTTTATCCAGTCTTCGATTTAATTTCATCATTAAATAAGCCTTTCTGTTTCTATAAGGTAAACGAAACTGGGAATTAAAAGGACACACTGAAAAAAAGAAGAGTACGGTTAGCTCACAGATAAATCTCGTTGTGGTAACCAAATTTGATAATAAAGTACGGAACAATTAATTATGTGGTCGCTGCAACCACAAAGCAATTTCTGAGTTACTGGGGTTGCAGCAGTAACGATATCTGATTGCTCCAATCAGAATGTATTCATGATAAATGTAACCCCAACCGATTTCTGGTTGCCGCAACCGGATCACACGCAACTACATTGGCGTTGGCAACTACGTTGACATATCAAAATAACTGAGTCACATCAATCATATACATTACCATCACACAAAGATGACTACGCCGCTCACAGCTAAATATACCTAGCTTATATGCACCATACCTTTTCTTTTCCGCACATATATTCAACACTCGTTATGCGCCCAGGATAAGGCTCCTAGTGGAGGGAATAAGGCTAATTGGTGGAGGAAGAACGGCAGATTTTAGAATCTAGCACATCTGGTCATCACGCGAATCTCCGGAGCGTGCGGTATATGACGCGTGCATTGTTTAATAATACGACATTACACTCAATACATGCGTATCACGAGAGATCGCGGCCACGAGACGTGGTAGAGCAAATATCCCGCGGGAAACAAAAAGGAGCTTGCCGAAGTAGACGCGTAAGCGACCCTGACCGACACGCTCTGCAGAATGCAGAATTTGCATCGTTGCCTGCAACTCGAGCGTGATCCTAGCCTTGTTCGACGAGGCACTGGACAAATAGCAATTCAGCCTCAATTGCACGAAATCAGCGCCGCTGCACAAAACGATCGTCGTTAACATTCCGAAGCTCCCAGCTCCGGAGAGAGGGTGGGAGATCGTCTCCGACGACGACACAGCAGCAGCAACCGGCGATACAACAATGCGGATTAGCGCGTTCTTAATGACGCAGCTTCGCATGCCTCGCGAGCACTTACTTCGCCGAGGAGGTGAGTGCGCGAAGAATACCGGACGACTTATCGAGGGAACTCACCGCGACAAAAAAAAAAGTCCCTCGGAGCCGATTAGATAACGCGACAACCTAGGCGCTACGTCTCCCAATCGGCCATGCACAGTGCAAATCAGCGATCGACGATAACAACGATGGAGAGGAAAAGCGCGTATGTTCGTAGACGTAACGTTTAATGCGCGCGGTAAGAGAGAGAAGGAGAGGAGGAAAGAAAAAAAGGAAAGAGCAATTCTTATTAGCAATTTCAAAGAGATACGCGATCCGCTCCGCTGAAGATGCAAAACGATAAGTCCGCACGTAAGGCGCAACGCGCCTCGGATAGTTTCCAACGTGTGCTTTATGCCGGCCGTTCCACGAGTAATTCTAACGCAATTCGATATATAAGCAAAAACAAAGTCACGAATTACAAGTTAAATATAAAAAGAGAAAATGAGTTATATAAATTCTAAATCGTGGAAATAAAAATTACGAGAATTTTTGAAAACTATATATTGTAAAGAATTTAAATGTAACATTAACCTAAACGTTAAAAAAGTAAAATAGAACAAAAATTAAAAGAATTATTAATTCTTAATAAAAATTAATTTTAAATTTAACATTAACCTAAATATTAAAAAGTTATGTGAATCCTAAACACGGTGTATCTTCTTTTATTAATAGAACCAGACATGGTCTGCGTGATATTTTCTCTCGGAAGTGTCCTGCTTAGTGTGGTATTCGAAGTTTATGAATAAACCGTAATTGTTGAAATTTTTTTTTTCTTAATTGAACGTTTTGATAGAATTCAATCAGGACTGACAGGAACTCTTGCTAAAAATATTGTTTATACTTTAGACGGAAAATGACGTGTTAACTTCGCAAACCTAGCACGACAATTTTTCATTTGCTGTTTTTCAGTATTAAAAATACAGAACTCTTTTTGTTTTCTATGTAGAACTCTAGAACTATGAAAAGTATTAATAGAACTGTCATTATTTTTTTAAAATTTGCAAAACGTGCCAGCTTCACAGATACAATTCAAGAGAAGAATGACACACCTTTCGCGCCAACCTCATATAAAACTGCGGTACTTCGCAACGGATATCATTATATGCGCGATTACTCACAGGATGACCGATAATAAAGTTGAACGAAGAAAAGCCACAGATTGCTCCGGCGGACGTCGCAAGGCGCGACTGTCGCTGCGATCGTCATTTCCTCTGCAATTCTCGCAATTCCCCGAGGATGGCGGTCGAACGTGAGCGAACGACCGCCGAGATTTTTACGCAACGGGAAGTATAGTGACAGCACAGTTTCAATCGCGCAACGAGCTCGAATAAACGCGGTCAACTTCCTTCCTTCCTTCCTTCCGCGGTGGCTTCCGACCCGCCCGAAACATCGGCGCAATTGCATAACCCGGGTCGACGAAATAGTCGGCCGATGAGGAGGACGGTTTT